CAAACACACACAGACACACACAGACCACAACACACACATACACACACATAGGACACAACCACACCACAACCAACACACCATAAGACACACACACACACAAAGACACCACACACAGATACACACACACACCAGGACACACACACACAGACACACACACACAAACACAGACACACACACACACAGACACACACAAAAGAACAGACAAACACACATGTGGTTCTCTCTCACAATCTCTCTCCCCCTGTTTTTTCTCTCTCTCTATCTCTCTCTCTCTCTCTCTCCATCCCCACCCTTCTCCCGCTCTCTCTTTTTAATATTCCTCTTATGGCAATATAGTCATGACTCACTGGGTGGTGCTATCCTTCCCTGTGTTCTGACATATCCACTCTCAGCTGCTGCACCTCAGACCTGGTGCCTGGTAGGCAACAAACCACCATGTTAATGTATCATCAGGGAGAAGTATCTACTGTGACATTAGGGTTATAACCATGTTAATGTTAATGTATCATCATCATGTGGTCCTCTGTAGCTCAATTGGTAGAGCATGGCGCTTGTAACGCCAGGGTAGTGGGTTCGATCCCCGGGACGTAAAAATGTATGCGCACATGACTGTATGTCGCTTTGGATAAAAGCTTCTGCTAAATGGTTTATTATTATTATTATTATCACGGAGAAGTATCTACCGTGACATTAGGGTTCTAACCATGTTAATGTATCATCACGGAGAAGTATCTACTGTGACATTAGGGTTATAACCATGGTAATGTATCATCACAGAGAAGTATCTACTGTGACATTAGGGTTATAACCATGTTAATGTATCATCACAGAGAAGTATCTACTGTGACATTAGGGTTATAACCATGTTAATGTATCATCACAGAGAAGTATCTACTGTGACATTAGGGTTATAACCATGTTAATGTATCATCACAGAGAAGTATCTACTGTGACATTAGGGTTATAACCATGTTAATGTATCATCACAGAGAAGTATCTACTGTGACATTAGGGTTATAACCATGTTAATGTATCATCACGGAGAAGTATCTACTGTGACATTAGGGTTCTAACCATGATAATGTATCATCACGGAGAAGTGTCTACTCCCAGCTCATACTGAGGAGGTGTGGAGAGAGAGAGAGATCGAGAGAGAGAGAGAGAGAGAGAGAGAGAGAGAGAGAGAGAGAGAGAGAGAGAGAGAGAGAGAGAGAGAGAGAGAGAGAGAGAAATGAATTGTTTTAAGGGAGACAGTTTATTCTGAACTAATGTGTCCTGTCATGTGCCAAAACCACTCACATCAGAGTCTGACAGACAGAGGCAGATGCACCTCCACTGTGTTTGGCTTCAGAGAGCTCTACATCTCACATCCCTTCTGACTGGCACAGAACTAGAGAGGCCCAGTACAGAGTGTGTATGTGTGTGCTGTACATGCATGCATGAGGAGGAGATTGCATCTGCTCTGGAGGACCCACTGTTCATCCCATCAACTCCAGATGACCAGATTATAATTTGTGTGGAGTGTTTGAGTAAGAAGAAATGTTCAAAACATGATTAAAGAAAACATGTGTTGCAACACTTGTGATTTGGTAATCTGAACCTCAGTTCAACGGTTCCCAGAAGAGCAGGTATTATGATGTACTTCTATTCCATTAAACTACACTGAATCACTGTTTCTGTCCTCCATACCGGCAATAACAGCATATCACCAGACATTGTTTGCCTGATTAGAAGGGGATTCATGGGAATAGCAGGTATGGTTCAGGAAACAAGCCATACAACAAGTCATAATACAGCAACATTTATTTAAGAAGATGGCAGGGCAATAAGTCTAAACTATCGGAAACCATAAATCCAATTCACAAGCTCATCTTCTGTCAAACCTTCTGGTCACAACACATAAAGCCCTTCTGAAAAGATTGAAACCACAATGTTCTTCTGTCAAACCTGGTCAAAATATATAAAGCCCTTCTGACAGGATTGAAACCACAACGTTGCAATTACTGTACTGATATATAAATGTCAGAAATGCTTTATGAAACAGTCTCTTGGCCTGCTGCCTGCCTGCTCCGAAGACAGATACAATGGAAAACAGAAAGCAGTGTGCAATATTGAGACAGGAGGATGTGTCAGAGTTGTTTTCAGTATCTATCACATGCAATCACTATCACATTTCACTTCTTTTGTTTCAGTTGAGAACGGAGCTCAGCTAGCCAAACAGTCACATAGGAACAGACATCAAAAGTAACAGCATATAGAGTTCACAACGCAGCAGTTTGAATAGAACTCATGCAGCAGACGCTCGAGCAGACCTTGTAAAGTAGTCAACAGTGGAATCTATTTTAGAACTATGCACAGCCAGGTAAGGAGTCAGGTAATTTCTCTGGCATTGTGTTAACAGCAGTCTGGTGTGCTGAATATTTGTACCGGTCCTTAGCTATGACCGAGACTGGAATGTTCATATTGTTAAAAGTGTAACAGTATTGCAACGAGAATTTGAAGGAGTGCAGAAGTTCCGGAATTTCCCTTCTCATATTTGTCACACTAACAACACACAGGCAAACACATACCAAGTGAGAGATGGAGAGAGAGAGAGAGAGACAATCGAGAGAAGAGAGAGGAGAGAGAGAGAGAGGAGAGAGAGAGAGAGAGATAGAGAGAGAGAGAGAGAGAGAGAGAGAGAGAGAGAGAGAGAGAGAGAGTGAGACAGTCAGACAGACAGACAGAGAGACAGTGACCAACGGAACACTGTGGTCAGAGCTCATTACACGACTGGTTGCTCTCCCTATCGATCTAAACACACAGTGATACACACACACATACACACACACGCAAGCGCAACACACACACACACACACACACTAGCAGCGTGCCATAGAGGAGCATGGGAGAGAGGGGAGAGGGGGAGGGGCTTTCCTGTTAGGGATCAGTCATTGATTTTCATTCAGACCCCACCATCCATCCACCACACCTAATCCACAGTAACAGTGTGCCTGCATCCCAAATGGAACTCTATTACCTATATAATGTACTCAGGGCCACAGGGCTCTGGTCAAAAAGTAGTGCACTATGTAGGGAATAGGGTGCCATTTGGGACACAGCCTCTCTGTTGGTAGATAGGCCTACTGGACAAGTGTAAAAATGTATATTCACTCTGAATGAGCCAAATTCAGTAATAGAAATCTAGGGGCAGTGAAATAGAGTCTGTTGCTGTCCCCATCCCAGACTCTCAACCTATCCCCCTGGAGCTCTCCCACAGCCTGGGACCATCTGCCTCTATAAATTCAATAATTCCAAAACAACTGTTCCACTATATCAGCAAAACCCTGTTCCTGTCTTAGTCAGCCCTCATGTTACAGTGTTCATTAACTGTCCTCTCTCAATGCCTTATTTCTATGAACCCAAAGACTGCTTTCTTAACGGAAGGTAGTATGACCGCTTAACAAATCATTTACTAAACTATAGAATAGAACAGAGCAGAATAGAATAGAAAAACTGTATTTATATGTGATGTTAATGGTCATCACTTGTGTTGCTGCCAACAACAACTGTGTTCTAGTAAACATGGCAACAGGACTGAACATGCCTTTTGTGCTGCATCGCAAAGCAAAACTCCTCTCAGTCCTTCCAATGGAAAACACCTATGCGTTATGACGCGCGAGGAACCGCAGATCATAATCAATCATCTGATCTATTACCACGAATGTGATCTGCCCCCTTTTGATCAGAAGATATAAATGCCCTGTAACTTATGTTATCAATAGATGTGATAAGATACGAAAAATAGGTGAAAATGAAATAGATAAGATGGATATTTAATATCGAACCGAACTTGTTGTGAATAGATTAGATTAAATGAGAAAATATTTTTGAAATGAGATGCCTTTCCACCGTACACAACTGATCAACAATGGCACCAAACTCATTCAAGAACCACTATAAAACTAGCTCTGTTCCATGGCGTTAGTGCGCGTCCGCGCATAATGCCCTGGACCAGAGCTAGAACCCCTGAATTGCCTACTGTACCTGTTTTGCCATCCCTGTAGCAGGTTAGTGTATTTATTGAGGACCCCCTCCAGACGCCGCTTGTGGGCTTGATGCGGAGTAGACCCGCTGCCCCCGGACACCCCACCACGGCTACCTGCGGTGACTCCCTCCGAGCCCAGGCTGTGCGGACACGGACCGCCACCTCCTCCGTCCAACCTCCGTGCAGCGGGATTCCCATGGTAGGATGCGGGGTTGATCATGTTGGAGCCTGGGTGCTTGTCCATAATTGAGATTTAGGCTAAAGATAAGATGATTATCTTGTTTTAGAAGGTGGAAAACCGAACGATAAGAAGATCGAATGCAGCGGAGATTCCAGAACAGGGTGATAACCACATTCTCCGTTAGTACAGCTTCTTGGAGAATATGGACCCTGCACTGTCTTATGCTGAGAGAAGAAGAGAGAGAAGAAGAGGAGAAGAGGGGGTTTCCGTGTCTTGCTGCGGTGTTGGTGTGTGGCTCTGACGTTTCTGCGTTTTTCTACTGGAAATCCCGGGATGGTCACTCCCTTTGACTGCCGGCCAACCACGATGCTGTACCTCCAGAATACAGGGCTATATACATCATCGCTGAAAACACACGGATTCACCATAGCTTATTCACCACACACAAGGATCTCAACGTACATGCATGATGTGTGGGATATTAAATATTTCAATTTGGAATAGGGAAAAAATAGGGAAAGGCCTATGCCATTTAGGCTATTTGATATGAAAATGTAAGGCTATTCAGTTAATATTCTTCTTGAACTTCTTCCAGAAAAGAGACATTAGTAAACATTGCAACAATTGTCTTGCAATTTATCAGGAGAATAATAAACCATGTTAATGTAAAAGGCTACCAGCTAATTGTAACAAACATAAACAACTCCAAATCCCAGAATCCTCCAGTGCGGCAACTCCTTGATGATGCCATTTACAGTAGTCCAGCCTATAGTAGCCTAGCGGCGCTCTCCTGTCTCCTCTCCATACCATCTGTCATTAGTTACCTATATCTTCGAAATTAATACATTTTTACCGTTTCTTCTCCAGACGCATATAGGAAACATCTCCAATGGCGTCGCCTCTGAAAGTGTGCATTGTCGGCTCTGGAAACTGGTGAGTTCAGTCACTGTCAATGGTCATTGTTGCTCCTGTCGATGATAGGCAACATGCCTTGCAACCTATAGAGATTGTCAGATAGATCTTACTGGGTTAGCTGGCTAGCTAGAGCAGCACAAGTTGGCAGTGTCTGACGCTTACAATGTAGGCCTATCTCTCTTTGGCGCAGAGGCAGGCGCGGCTTGTTACATTGTAGCTATTGTCAAGGAAAACAAACCTCTCATATGGCCATGAGCAGAGCAACGTGGGTTTTTTAATGTACTTATGTTGAGGGGACTACAATGCATTTCTGTAGGATAATGTTTAAGGGATAATGTTTTGACATGAGCAAATTATTGAGAAGGGACAAGACAGAATTTTCTAGGTTATCCATTCTAAAATGATGGTGAACAGTTATGATAATAATTTGATTGTTTTTGCTATTGTCTCTTGCCACAAGACGATGGTAAATGGTATATTGTAGATAAGTGTAATGTACATAAATGATTCTTCTTCCCTACAGGGGTTCAGCCATTGCCAGGATAATTGGCAGTAATGCTCAGACCCTGCAGCGCTTCGCCACCACAGTCAAGATGTGGGTGTTTGAGGAGAACGTGAACGGCAGGAATCTCACAGACATCATCAACACAGACCATGAGAATGTCAAGTACCTGCCTGGATACAAACTGCCTGACAATGTGGTAAGAGGACTGTCTGAACAGAAATGAGCCCAACAGCTGTTTCACATATTTGTTCCATTCCAGCACACAGCTGACCAAAGCATTACAGTCACCTCATTGAAATGATATCTTCCACCCGCTCCCTCTCCTTCTCCCTCACTCCCTCCCTCTCTCTCTCTGTCTCTATCCCTCTCTCTCTCTCTCCTCTCTCCATCTCTCTCTCTCTCCATCTCTCTCTCTCTCCCCCTCGCTCTCCCCCTCCTTCCCTCTCCACAGGTGGCTGTACCCCAGCTCCAGGATGCTGCTGAGGGGGCTGACCTCCTAGTGTTTGTGGTTCCTCACCAGTTCATCAGGAAGCTGTGTGATGAGATGGTAGGCTGTGTCTCCTCTCAGGCCAGGGGAATCACACTCATTAAGGTAAGAGTTTCACGCCGCCAAACGTCGTATTCTTATGTTTGCTCTGCAACCTAGAACACATAAGGGTTCACAAGGCTATATGGAGCCCTCTCATTTCTCAGTGTCCGCCTCATAATTTAGGTTCTAAATTAAAGGTGAAAATATGTATTTTTCTGTATGCTTAAAAAACATATTTTCCAGGACGTTGAGAAAATGCATATTTTCCAGACGTTGAAAAATACGTATCTTCCGGATGTTGAAATCAGGTAAATTTTCGGTTCTGAATGAAAGTTGAAAATACTTATTTTCTGGATGTTGAAAATACGTATTTCCCAGACGTTGAAAAATGTATTTTCCGGATGTTGAAATCAGGCTAATTTTTTTATTCTAAATGAAAGTTGAAAATATGTAATTTATAGACGTCTATAATTGGTTCAGGTTTGGTCCAAAAGGCGTTGCCGTCGGTCCGTGCTTACTGAGGTGGAGCCTACAGTGTTGCCTGAAATAGAATTTTATGAATGCCCATCTATGGTTACCATTTGTAAAACACCCCCCAAAAAAATGACTTCTGGTCTGGACCAAAAAAAAGACATCCAAAAGACGTCGGCTCGCGCTTACTGGGGTGTAGCCTAACGTGTTGGCCCCCAATATAATTTTATGAATGCCCATCCGTGTGGTAGGCCTACCGTTTGTTAAACAGACCGTTACATTGGCTTTACTAGTCCTGATTCCTGTGGCTAATCAATTTGGCTATTTAAGCTCTGAATATCAGCTACCCAACTTTATCAGGAGTTATCGTGAGCCTATTTGCAATGTGTTTACACAGCGGGAAATGCAGAAGTGTTTTCTTTTTCGCTATGATCAGCTTGTCAAAAATGTACAGATACAAACTTGAAATCACTGGTCATGACAATGGGGTGAAACTCCTGGACAACAGTTGTGATTGTCCATTCCATATTGTCCATTTTACTTTGACCTGTCCTGTTTTTAGGATATGTTGTTTGTTAACATGACAGCACATTTTTTATTTGATTGAGCACCATTTAGGTTAGGCTATTTGATCTGAGAAACCTGCATGATGTAAAACGTGTCCATCTCATTACATTGTCATACATGTTATCTCCAGCCTGTAGGCGTCAGAAAAGGCCACATACTATTTCTACCATATCCTATATCTGCTACTTGATTTAAGTTAGATAATTTTTTTGACTGAATGTTAGTGGAGCGCTCCAGCGATGCGTTTCTCCAACAGCACCCTGTAGGGCATGCTGGGAATGGACAAGCAAAATATTTTGCGCCCCTGCCTTTTACAAAGTGGCCACTGCTTATCACAGGGTGGCATCAATGCTCACCTAAAAAGCCCTTATGCCACTGGTCATTATTTTTGGGCAGAATTATGTGAGGTTTTATGTGTTGTTGTTGGAGGTGCGTCTTGGTTTAGTTCATCAATCTGTCACCATAGGCAGCCGCTTAATCCTGCCTAATGAGCGGGCCAGCCGTGTGTATGGGCCTGCGTCTCATTTTAAATTTTTAAATTTTTAGTCATTTAGCAGACACTCTTATCCAGAGCGACTTACAGTTAGTGAGTGCATACATTTTTCACACCAATAATGTTGTGTTGTCAGATATTGACCTCTGCACTACAGCATGAGACCCATGACAGCTTGTCTCATCTATAAATAGATAGTTTGTCTGCTGAACATATGGCTTTCTGTCACTCTTGTCCGTCACTCTGTCACTCTGGCATAGACCTCATCTGCTGAACATATGGCTTTCTGTCACTGTCAGTCTGTCACTCTGTCCATCTGTCAGTCACTCTGTGAGTAAGTCACTCTGTCACTGTCACTCTGTCAGTCACTCTGTTACTCACTCTGTTACTCACTCTGTCACTGTCAGTCACTGTCAGTCTGTCACTCTGTCTGTCACTCTGTCAGTCACTCTGTCCATGTCACTCTGTCTGTCATTCACTGTCAGTCACTCTGTCAGTCACTCTGTTAGTCTGTCAGTCACTCTGTCAGTCACTCTGTTAGTCTGTCAGTCACTCTGTCAGTCAGTCTTAGGGTTGAATGGTGGGAACCCGGTTACCGAAATTTACCAGGATTTACCGCCCAAAACCACTCCCTTTTCCCAGGATAAGAAACGGTGAGAAACCGGTAAATTATAATAAATTATTTATATGAACAGCATGGTGTGAAATGGAACTGTTAAATTATATGCGATGTCTAAATCTGGCTTCACTACAGCCTCTGCATGATGAATCAACGCTCAGGGTGGGGTCAGACCCCGTATGGAGCGCAGTTCACAATGCATGTAGACTTGCATGTAACTTTTTTTATTGTGACAGGTAGACCTACATTTGCTGCAGCATTGCCTATGCTACAGTAATATAAAGACAGAATGCGCATCTAATTTACCCATCTACATCTGGCTTTCAGGGGTCACCTTGTTTTTTAATTGTAAAGAAAAAAAAAAAAAAATTGCAGCTGCAGAGTTTTAAAACAGCCTATCACTAGAATATCGTTGCTTTAAATCAGTGCACGCTCGAGTACTCTCTCACAGTCTTTCTCTCTCTCCATCAACTCCATTCAAATTGCATCCAAAATAGATAATCCTGTTCTAGATTGATATACTGTATAGCCCTATATATAGATGTCCTAGCCTACCTCTTTCAGGTAATACATTCAATGCAGTATTAGCCTTATATTTAGCTAATTAATGGTGGGTTATGCATAATAAGCTTCTAACTTATAGCCTCTGTCTCTTGTGCAATATGCAAGCACCTGTGCCCTGCTGACCTCTCCTTGGAGTCACATGCGGCAAAAGCTAGACTAGAATAGCTTGCTGGACATTATATATTTTTAGCATTTCTTATACCAATAGACTATTCGAATAGGCACGCAAGCTCTTTTTTGCTGAATGTTAAATGCAGCATCCAATAGAACTCACATGTAGCTTGAAAGAAGAGCGAACGCGCGATGGCGGTAGGCTATAGCAGTTATTTATTCAGACCCAACCATTCAATCTTCGTGAAGAGAAGTGAAAGCCTTCTGCATCTAATTCTAGTCCTATATTATTCAAGTATGTCATTAGAATGATGAAGATAAGGACAATTAAACGAATTTCATGTATCTGTTGAAAGCCAGGAAGGAATGAAGCAACAATAGAGAGAGAAAGAGGAGGTAGGCTAATAACATAAGGGGAAATATTATCAAAGGTATATATATATGCGTCAGCCTACTAATTATACAAATAGGCCCAATTATACTTGTAACTTTTTAGGCCGCATGTGCTCTAACAGAATCACATGTTCTCTTCTGCTTTATCATGGTTTGAACGATGTACGTAATTCCAGTCCATATAACACAGTATAATATAATACAGTACAGTAATACAGTTCACACTCAAAAAGATTTGCCTAATGGAGCTAGTTTCATTTATTTACCCAAGAGAGCATATAGCTAGCTACATCTATGGGCTTTATATAGCTAGCTACATCTATGGGCTTTTAAATAGCTAGCTACATCTATGGGCTTTTATATAGCTAGCTACATCTATGGGCTTTATATAGCTAGCTACATCTATGGGCTTTTATATAGCTAGCTACATCTATGGGCTTTATATAGCTAGCTACATCTATGGGCTTTTATATAGCTAGCTTCATCTATGGGCTTTTATATAGCTAGCTACATGTATGGGCTTTTATGTTTTTTTGTTGTGCGTAATACGACCCACTAAAACCTGTTCTACAACAGCAGTCTACTCTATTCTGTTCTGCTCAGCTCTGGCCTTTTTGAGACTGTTGACTGTTATTACCAACAGCCAGCCAGACAGCCAGACAGACAGGGTTAATATCCTCCTATCCATGACAACAGAGAGGTTTAGTGCATGGTGAAATCCATGTGTTGTGGTAACAGAGCTGAAAGAGTTGAACGTCCAGCTCTGGCTCTGGAGAGGCTAAAGGGGCTGGTTTAAACCTCTTGATTGGGCCACAGCAGGGCCTTGTATTAAACATCTGGATTGGGCCACAGCATGACCTTGTATTAAACCTCTGGATTGGGCCACAGCAGGACCTTGTATTAAACCTCTGGATTGGGCCACAGCAGGACCTTGTATTAAACCTCTGGATTGGGCCACAGCAGGACCTTGTATTAAACCTCTGGATTGGGCCACAGCAGGACCTTGTATTAAACCTCTGGATTGGGCCAGAGCAGGACCTTGTATTAAACCTCTGGATTGGGCCACAGCAGGGCCTTTGTAAAGGGGGATTTGTGTGGTTGAGAAGCCAGGGGATTCTGAGAAGCTTTGTTTTAGTGGAGAGGCTTTTATAATTAATGCTACGTAATGATCTACAGGCTCATTTATTTTAGTGGAGAGGATGGTCTTCTCATTCTCCAAGAATGTAATCAGACAATTATGGTGTTGGGATTTATTTAATAGGCTACTCTCTCTCATTAGCCTGCTCTCTCTCTACTGTCTATTCATTTATTCATGCCTAGTCTTAAATCAGTTACAACTACTTCTGCAAGGTTCTAGTTATTTAGGAAGTGTTTGTACTTGTCAGAGTGTGTATAAAAAGCGAGTCCACAGCTCCTTGGTTGGCCTAGTTTGTTTCTGTCACCAGCTGGTTCTATCTCTCTCCAAGGCAGCTAAGCTCCCACGTCTGGCTTATGATGTTTGGATATTTCAAGAGTGATGTTTACTGGGACATGATATGCTCTCCTCTCGGTACTCCCATCCATGTCCCAGATTGAGTTAGCGTCAGCAGGAGAGAGTAGGCTAATGTCAGAGGGAGTAGAGTAGCTAACTCTGTATCTACTGTAGTGTTGTCTGTCTGTCCTTTCTGTCTCTCTGTCTGTCTGTCTCTGTCCTTTCTGTCTCTCTGTCCTTTCTGTCTGTCTGTCTCTCTGTGTCTCTGTCCTGTCTGTCTGTCCTGTCTGTCTGTCCTTTCTGACTCTGTCCTTTCTGTCTGTCTGTCTCTGTATGTCTCTGTCCTTTCTGTCTGTCCTTTCTGTCTGTCCTTTCTGTCTGTATGTATGTCTGTCTGTCTGTCTGTCTGTCTGTCTGTCTGTCCTTTCTGTCTGTCTGTCTGTCTGTCTGTCTGTCTGTCTGTCTCTCGGTCCTTTCTGTCTGTCTCTCTGTCCTTTCTGTTTGTCTGTCTCTGTCTTTTCTGTCGGTCTGTCTGTCTGTCTGTCAGTGACAAGCCCCCATGTGTGGAGTTGAGACAGCAGTCTGACTCTGTCTCTATGTGTCTCTGAATGGATCTTTTTAGTTACAAACACATAATAAACAGATAGAAACAGTAGTAAACCACTAAACAGTAGTAACATCTCTCACCTCTCTCTTCACAGGGAATAGCTGCTTCCTCACTCCTCTCTGTCAATATCCTCTTTCAGATGGCTGTCTTCCTTTTATATTTTCTCTCACTTTGCCCTGTAAACAAATCGAATGAAAAACAGTAGTGAACCAGTAAACCATAGTGATTTAGCTGTCTCCTGTCCCCACAGGGAATAGACGAGGGTCCGGAGGGCCTGAAGCTCATCTCTGACATAATCAGGGAGAAGATGGCTATAGACGTCAGTGTTCTAATGGGAGCTAACATCGCCAACGAGGTGGCAGCAGAGAAGTTCTGTGAGACCACCATCGGTAAGAATACCCCAGCCTCATTTATAATGCATATACATTTGTATACAGGAATGTAAAACAAAGCTGTGAAGTTATTTGATAACTATATGGCATGAGATATATAGTAATAATGTCTCCTGAGTGGCGCAGTGGTCTAAAGGCACTGCATCGCAGTACTAGCTGTGCCACTAGAGATCCTGGTTCGAATCCAGGCTCTGTCATAGCCGGCCGTGACCGGGAGACCAATGGGGTGGCGCACAATTGGCCCAGCTTCGTCCAGGGTAGGGGAGGGAATGGCCGGCAGGGATGTAGCTCAGTTGGTAGAGCATGGCGTTTGCAACGCCAGGGTTGTGGGTTCGATTCCCACGGGGGGCCAGTATGAAAAAAATATATATATAATAATAATGTAACTGTAAGTCGCTCTGGATAAGAGCGTCTGCTAAATGACAAAAAAAAAATACAAAAAAAATACAAAAAATAATACAAAGCATGGACAGAGATGGAGTGATAGGCTGGCTATGTGTTGGATGTAAAACGTGTTGCTTTACCAGGCAGTAAGATCATGGAGAACGGCCTGCTCTTCAAGGAGCTCCTGCAGACTCCTAACTTCAGGATCACAGTGGTGGACGACGCAGACACTGTAGAGCTCTGTGGAGCACTGAAGGTAACTCTAAGATACTGTAGAGCTCTGTTGAGCACTGAAGGTAACTCTAAGATTCTGTGGAGCACTGAAGGTAACTCTAAGTACCCAGCCCAGTGAGTGTATGTGCATGGTAAAATGGATACTTCCATTGTAAAATGGTAATGACATAGTAATAACCTATTACCTCTATGTTTTCGTCTCTCTTCCTCAGAACATCGTAGCGGTAGGAGCAGGGTTCTGTGATGGGCTGAGGTGTGGTGACAACACCAAGGCAGCAGTAATCAGACTAGGGCTGATGGAGATGATAGCCTTCGCTAAGCTCTTCAGTAAAGATGGCGTCGTCTCCTCTGCAACTTTCCTGGAGAGCTGCGGCGTGGCTGACCTCATCACGACCTGCTATGGAGGACGCAACCGACGCGTGGCCGAGGCATTCGCCAAGACAGGAAAGGTAAGGACAAACGTCCAACTCTACACCAGATCTGGGATGGTTAGTGCCGGCTGACTGACCACTTGTCAGTTACACCACCCCATGGCAAAGTCACAAATCAAAACAATGTGTTGTTTCATTCAGAAATGTGACGTTTTTCAGTTAGTAAACAGTATAGACCTGACTCCTACATAGATACATGGTAATATGTCATGTATTTTCAGTTAGTAACAGTATAGACCTGACTCCTACATAGATACATGGTAATATGTCATGTATTTTCAGTTAGTAACAGTATAGGCCTAACTCCTACATAGATACATGGTGGTCCTCTGTAGCTCAGCTGGTAGAGCACGGCGCTTGTAACGCCAAGGTAGTGGGTTCGATCCCCGGGACCACCCATACACACAAAAAATGTATGCACGCATGACTGTAAGTTGCTTTGGATAAAAGCGTCTGCTAACTGGCATATTATTATATTATTATACATGGTAATATGTCATGTATTTTCAGTTAGTAACAGTATAGGCCTAACTCCTACATAGATACATGGTAATATATGGGCGGCAGGTAGCTTAGTGGTTAAGAGCGTTGTGCCAGTAACCGAAAGGTCGCTGGTTCTAATCCCCGAGCCCACTAGGTGAAAAATCTGTCGATGTGCCCTTGAGCAAGGCACTTAACCCTAATTGCTCCTGTAAGTCGCTCTGGATAAGAGCGTCTGCTAAATGACCAATTATATTATATATGTCATGTATTTGTCTCCCTGCTAGACTATTGAGGTGCTGGAGCAGGAGATGTTGAATGGACAGAAGCTCCAGGGTCCTGCTACCTCAGCTGAAGTCTACCACATCCTCAAACAGAAGGGACTGGTGGACAAGTGAGTCCCTTTCTGTCTTCCTCTCTCTCTCTCTGATTGATCCAGATACAGTACCTAGCCAAATGTAGTCTGTCACTCATTCCACCTGTATTACCCTGTGGTCCCAACCATGAGCCCAGACTTATGATGGGGGAGAGAGAGAGAGGTGGTTGTATCCTTCCATTTTAACCCTATGTCATTCTGTTGTGTCTTTCCCAGGTTCCCTCTGTTTGGGGCAGTGTATCAGATCTGTTTCGAGGGCAAGCCGGTACAGGAAATGATCTCCTGTCTACAGAGTCACCCAGAGCACCTGTGAGTGCAGCTAGCTAGGTATGCTAGGCTAACCTCAGATAGCAGAGCTAATTCTATCTCTCCTCTCCAGCTGCTCTCCTCTGACCTCTATCCATAGAGGAGCTGTTCTCTCAAACAAGGGCCCTCCCTCCCCACCCTACCCTTCAAGGTTTAGGGACCAAAAGTTACAGAGTAGATGCTATTTACAATATTGTTGTGTTAAAGTGATGAGCCTCGGCTGCTGCTAAGTGTCTATGGTGAATCAGTACCTCACATTGACATACAATATCTACGGGTGAATGTCAGTTTCCTTCAGTGTTATTGAACCTAAATGACCTCCGATGCTACTAGCCAGCCATTAGGGCTCAAAAGTGGCTCTATCTATGGACACCAGCCAGCATCGGTCTCAAATGCACTTTTTGTGATTTCCTTATTTAATCATGCTGGCAAGACTTGACAATGCCCTTTCAATTAGGGGGGATGTTAGAACATAATTACCTTTGTGGGAAGTCATTCGTTTCAGTGGCCCATTTCAAAATCGTTAATTAGAATAGAATGGAATTACTTCATTTTTCCCAGAGGGAACTTCTGTCATTTTATACTGTTTCACTGCCATTCACATAATTTTAATGACATTACTTTACAGTCAATCCCAATGGAGTCATAATTTGTTTTTACAAAGGGAACAAGTGCACTCTGGAAAAAATAAAATGCAGTCCTTGCCTCACTAATTTAAATCCCCAATCATTATCAGTGCCAATTTTAGCATGTAAATCTTGGTGGGGCAAACTAAAAAATACAATTGTTTGATGCATGCCAGCAAACCCACTACACAACACAACACTAAACAATACATTAATTGCACTATAACGGTCACAAACGGTGCCCACACACTGTTAGGGCCTACATAAAGCTGTCCCAACAGTAGTCCCAACACCTTACCACTGCTACACCTGGCTATCAGCAGAGACTTGTCTGGCAGCGAAACAGTTCATTCAGCCTCATTTACTGCCTTTAAAAAAACATAGCTGATATGGCTGACTTGCTTAAACAAATGTGGTTTCTACTGACAATTGAGATGTACAAACTATGGCATAAAGGGACGACGAGCGGATAAGAGGCAATCCGTAATTTCGATTAAGACATTAATGAGCGACCTAGGACGGACGTAGTCAATATAACTATTTGTTCAGCACTTTTGAAATGTACAGCGACAGAATTCAGAACATGGGCCGTTCTTACAGTATTCTCCCTGTACACCAAGTCAGAACCATAGGATAAATAAAGGGGGCATATAAGCAGACAATGAAAGCTCTTACAATATTCGATGATTACATTTCTCTAAAACAGGCTGTGCACCACCAAGTCAGAACAGTAGGCGAAATTAGGAGGGGAAACGGGACCAAATTATTAGGGTGAGGCACATGGGCTACTAACAGCTTACTACACAACATACACTTACTATTACTTTCTTAGCTACAGTATACAGTGGGGAGAACAAGTATTTGATACACTGCCGATTTTGCAGGTTTTCCTACTTACAAAGCATGTAGAGGTCTGTAATTTTTATCATAAGTACACTTCAACTGTGAGAGACGGAATCTAAAACAAAAATCCAGAAAATCACATTGTATGATTTTTAAGTAATTAATTTGCATTTTATTGCATGACATAAGTATTTGATCACCTACCAACCAGTAAGAATTCCGGCTCTCACAGACCTGTTAGTTTTTCTATAAGAAGCCCTCCTGTTCTCCACTCATTACCTGTATTAACTGCACCTGTTTGAACTTGTTACCTGTGTAAAAGACACCTGTCCACACACTCAATCAAACAGACTCCAACCTCTCCACAATGGCCAAGACCAGAGAGCTGTGTAAGGACATCAGGGATAAAATTGTAGACCTGCACAAGGCTGGGATGGTCTACAGGACAATAGGCAAGCAGCTTGGTGAGAAGGCAACAACTGCTGGCGCAATTATTAGAAAATGGAAGAAGTTCAAGATGACGGTCAATCACCCTCGGTCTGGGGCTCCATGCAAGATCTCACCTCGTGGGGCATCAATGATCATGAGGAAGGTGAGGGATCAGCCCAGAACTACACGGCAGGACCTGGTCAATGACCTGAAGAGAGCTGGGACCACAGTCTCAAAGAAAACCATTAGTAACACACTACGCCGTCATGGATTAAAATCCTGCAGCGCACGCAAGGTCCCCCTGCTCAAGCCAGCGCATGTCCAGGCCCGTCTGAAGTTTGCCAATGACTATCTGGATGATCCAGAGGAGGAATGGGAGAAGATCATTTGGTCTGATGAGACAAAAATAGAGCTTTTTGGTCTAAACTCCACTTGCCGTGTTTGGAGGAAGAAGAAGGATGAGTACAACCCCAAGAACACCATCCCAACCGTGAAGCATGGAGGTGGAAACATCATTCTTTGGGGATGCTTTTCTGCAAAGGGGACAGGACGACTGCACCGTATTGAGGGGAGGATGGATGGGGCCATGTATCGCGAGATCTTGGCCAACAACCTCCTTCCCTCAGTAAGATCATTGAAGATGGGTCGTGGCTGGGTCTTCCAGCATGACAACGACCCGAAACACACAGCCAGGGCAACTAAGGAGTGGCTCCGTAAGAAGCATCTCAAGGTCCTGGAGTGGCCTAGCCAGTCTCCAGACCTGAACCCAATAGAAAATCTTTGGAGGGAGCTGAAAGTCCGTATTGCCCAGCGACAGCCCCGAAACCTGAAGGATCTGGAGAAGGTCTGTATGGAGGAGTGGGCCAAAATCCCTGCTGCAGTGTGTGCAAACCTGGTCAAGACCTACAGGAAACGGATGATCTCTGTAATTGCAAACACAGGTTTCTGTACCAAATATTAAGTTCTGCTTTTCTGATGTATCAAATACTTATGTCATGCAATAAAATGCAAATTAATTACTTAAAAATCATACAATGTGATTTTCTGGATTTTATTTTTAGATTCCATCTCTCACAGTTGAAGTGTACCTATGATACAAATTACAGACCTCTACATGCTTTGTAAGTAGGAAAACCTGCAAAATTGGCAGTGTATCAAATACTTGTTCTCCCCACTGTATGTACACTACCGGTCAAAAGTTTTAGAACACCTAATCATTCAAGGGTTTTTCTTAATTTTTACTATTTTCTACCTTGTAGAATAATAGTGAAGACATCAAAACTATGAAATAACACATATGGAATCATGTAGTAACCAAAAAAGTGTTAAACAAATCAAAATATATTTTATATTTGAGATTATACAAATAGCCACCCTTTGCCTTGATGACAGCTTTGCACACTCTTGGCATTCTCTCAACCAGCTTCACCTGGAATGCTTTTCCAACAGTCTTGAAGGAGTTCCTACATATGCTGAGCACTTGTTGGCTGCTTTTCCTTCACTCTGCGGTCCGACTCATCCCAAACCATCTCAATTTGGTTGAGGTCGGGGGACGTCGAGGCCAGGTCATCTGATGCAGCACTCCATCACTCTCCTTCTTGGTAAAATATCCATTACACAGCCTGGAGGTGTGTTGGGTCATTGTCCTGTTGAAAAACAAATTATAGTCCCACTAAGCCCAAACCAGATGGGATGGCGTATCGCTGCAGAATGCTGTGGTAGCCATGCTGGTTAAGTGTGCCTTGAATTCTAAATAAACCACAGACGGTGTCACCAGAAAAGCACCCCCACACCATAACACCTCCTCCTCCATGCTTTACGGTGGGAAATACACATGTGGAGATCATCCGTTCACCCACATCGCGTCTCACAAAGACACGGCGGTTGGAAACAAAAATCTCAAATTTGGACTACAGACCAAAGGACAAGTTTCCACCGGTCTAATGTAAATTGCTCATGTTTCTTGGCCCAAGCAAGTCTCTTCTTCTTATTGGTGTCCTTTAGTAGTGGTTTCTTTGCAGCAATTCGACCATGAAGGCGTGATTCACACAGTCTACTCTGAACAGTTGATGTTGATGTGTCTGTTACTTGAACTCGGTGAAGCATTTATTTGGGCTGCAATTTCTGAGGCTGGTAACTCTAATGAACTTATCCTCTGCAGCAGAGGTAACTCTGGGTCTTCCATTCCTGTGGCAGTCCTCATGAGAGCCAGTTTTATCATAGCGCTTGATGGTTTTTGCGACTGCACTTGAAGAAACTTTCAAAGTTCTTGAAATGTTCCTTATTGACTGACCTTCATGTCTTAAAGTAATGATGGACTGTAATTTCTCTTTGCTTATTTGAGCTGTTCTTGCCATAATATGGACTTGGTATTTTACCAAATAGGGCTATCTTATGTATATAGCCCCCCTACCTTGTCACAACACAACTGATTGGCTCAAACGCATTAAGAAGGAAAGAAATTCCACAAATTAACTTTTAAGAAGGCACACCTGTTAATTGAAATGCATTCCAGGTGACTACCTCATGAAGCTGGTTGAGAGAATGTCAAGAGTGTGCAAAGCTGTCATCAAGGCAAAGGCTCTCAAATATAAAATATTTGTTTAACACTTTTTTGGTTACTACATGATTCCATATGTGTTATTTCATAGTTTTGATGTCTTCACTATTATTCTACAATGTAGAAAATAGTAAAAAAATAAAGAAAAACCCTTGAATGAGTAGGTATTCACAAAACCTTTGACCGGTAGTGTATCTCCCTGGCATATTACATCATTTATGTAGCAGCATACAATACATTTTTGGACTCACCTTGTTCTGCTATGCTCACTTGAACAGGAAGGTGGCGCGGCGGTCCTTCATGGGCAAATTTCGTCATCAAACTTTGTCATCAAAGTCTGGCATTCTGGGAACTCTGAAAAAAACAACGTCGAATCATGATGACGTCAGTGATCTTCAGGTCGTAGCTCTAGAAAGAGGCCCGAGTTCCCGACTAGCAATTCCGAGTTGGATGACCGTTCAAAACGTATTTTCCCAGTCGGAGCTAGTTTTTTTCCGAGTTCCCAGTTGTCTTGAACTCACTGAAATCAGATTTCCCAGTTCTGGGTTTACAGTTGTTTTGAGCGTCTCCATGAGTGACAAAGCACTGAGCCAATCACAGCGCAACTAGAGAACATTACCAACCCCTACGCTCCACATTTTCTACTGGCTGCCCCACCACCACAGAAAGCACTGAGCTAGGCTGAAACAACTGCATTTTTGAGCTGCCTTACTCAAGAAAGCAAGAAAGTGTTTTTGTTATATATATATTTTACATTGTTTGCAAACTGATATGTGACACCTAATAATGCCAAAAATAACATGCAAAACAGGCATCCCCTAGAAAGGTTGGGCTCAATGAATGACGGGTCGCCACTGTTCATTATACACTCTGAAAAGTAAAGGTGCCTGGAAGATCCTTTTGGGTTGCCACACCGGCGGAACCATTACATTTGAAACTCCTGGAACCTTTTTGTGATGGTATGGGTTCTATTTTTAACCTTTTTAATGATATATTGTAGAGGTGGCAGCCTATCAGATTGAAGGCATGGCTTATTGGAGGCATGGCTTTCAGATAGTTATTTTTGGTCACCCGTTAGCGTAAATGTCATTCCTGTTCATGTTAAGTTTGTACACTGCAAATGAAAATATTCCTTGAATATTTATGCATAATAACACAGTCTAATATAATATTAATAATATTAACATTGCTGATTACATACAGTAATAAAGCGGGAACTATTCCAACTTTGGGATTTGTATAGGTTCTTGAGGAACTCCAGGGGTTCCTTGAGTATCTCCAGGGTTCCTCGAGTCACCACTAATTCTAAGAGTGTAGTAATTGACAGATACATTTGTGAATGGCAAGAGTCAAAAAAATGTGCACGTATAGTCCCTGTACCCTACTGCATTCAGGCGGTAGGTAGGCAATTATTTCAATGTGTTTTGTTTTTATACCATTATTAAAAAGGGTTTAATTTGTTTCCCTATATCAGCTAATGTGGTTTACTGACATCAGGTATTGTGGGTCGATTCTGATGAAGATGCCTTTACAGGTTCGACTGCCAGGGACTTAGCCTGAGTGCCAGTCTGTTTGTGGCATCATGCCAAATCCTTGTCACTCATTGTCATGGCAATGACAGCAATGGAGTTGGCAAGAGCACCAACAGATCAGGTTACCAGGGACTAGGCCCATTTGGATTTTAATGTATTTTCGAAGGAGCATGTTCCACTACTTTAGAAGTGTATATACATACAGTATGTAGTCAGCCTACTTATGAATGATCAGCATTCAGTAGATGATTAGACAGACCAACACATTACAGCCAAAGGTTATGGAGTGTGGTTACTTGATATTAACTTTGCCTTTTATTTTGCTTGTGATTGTAACCTCAAATCCATCCTTCTTATCAGTTTAACTAACTAGGTAACTAAATCAGTCCTCTGTGATTTATCATCCTGGTAACTAAATCAGTCCTCTGTGATTTATCATCCTGGTAACTAAATCAGTCCTCTGTGATTTGAAGGGCGACATGTTCTCGTAAGGTTTAAATGTAAAATGTAACACTATTTTCTTTGGGAATAAAAATGTATGTCTCTGTTTTCACTGACCTTTTTCTGCATATTGTGAAAACTGTAAAGGTATTTGCTATGAGAAGCATTCTTTCAAAAGGACCTACTTACAGACCTGCTTTATACAGAACAAACTATAACATAATACTATCGTAAGGCCTTAATGTATTTTAATTGTTACATTTCAAACTTATTCAACTAAAACCATCATTTAGAAAAACGCACACTACAATACAATCACATAGCATAATCCAACACCTTGGCATAAACAACAATGCATTGTTTAACTTAAACATCTTTTGAAGCTCCGTTGTCGAAGCTAAAACATATTTGTACATCCAATGAATTATTGACTTTAGAAGTAGAAATGTATCTCATCAACGCTCCAAACTATATTTTTGACCAAAGCCACCAGCTCATTTCTTCCCATTAGTAGCTGTTGTCACAAGGGTTACCTTGATAAATCTTAGATCCAGACCCTGTGTTGGCTATATGAAAAGTCCAGAGGGTCCACTGAAGGACGGATGAATATAGTTGTAATGAATGGATAATAGGCCCACAGTGAGTCACTATACAATTTCCAACAGCAGAGACATGTCTCATAGTCGATAAAGAATAAAAGCATCCATCTTATGTATCTAAAGATCTGATCATGAATGTGATGAAGGGGTTTGTTTCAGATACATGTCCAGATTCCACCTCCAAAAGAATGGATGACCCGTAATGTCTAAGTATCTTAGTCTAGTGGGTCAAACTACAACATGGAGCTATTCTATGTTGGGTCTTTTTGCCCATAGTAAAAGCCAACAACCGCAGTAGATCAGTTCCATAATCCATGAGTGGTTGATTGCTCTAGTCTGATAAGTCGTTGATTGCTCTAGTCTGAACTCCCTCAGTGAATTAACTTCTAGTCCTCATCCTCATCCTCTCCGAAAGAGAGAAGACTCTTGTTTTTCACCTTCTTTTCAGACTTCTCCTTTTTCTCTTCATCTTCTCCTTCACTCTTTTTCTTCTTGCTAGAGCTGGCGGTGATGCCCTGGAACTTGTCTGAGGAGCGCTTCGTGGGCTTCTTGAACAGGATCTTGCCGTCTGCAGGAGGCTTGTCTTCTGCAGGAGGCTTGTCTTCTGTAGGCAGCAAGGAGAAGAGGCAGATTAAGTTTAGACACACACACGCCAATTAACACCAAGTTCCCTTGATAGTTTAGGCTTTTAAATCAATTTATTTGTACAATTAATTGTTCTTACCTTTTTCTGTACCATCCTTTACCCCTTTTATCTGTAACACTTCTTCAGCGCTCAGATCTCCCTTTTCGAGAATGACAACTTGAGGCAACTCATCTTCACGATCACTGCCACTGTCATCCTCCAAGGCTGGCATCTCTAGACGCTGCAGGAAAGGAGACAGGGTTAAATATCACCATATTGACATCATGCCAGCCTCCCTGTCCATGTTAAAGGTACACATATCTGCAAAAATAGCCCTTCATGTCAATGAAATATCTATAGTAGTCAAGGAATTGAATTCTGTGAGGGAAAAACGAATAATTTGGAGGGTGGTCAACTCTCCTGTAGAGTTAGCTAATTACGTTCCTTGACTAGCTGAATCAAGGTGTTAGAGCAGGGCTAAAACAACAACCTGCACATAGAGTAGCTTTCCATATATCCACAGATATACTGTAGCTCTACGTGCCACCTAGTCTATTTTCCATAGGCTAGCTAGCACATTAGCGAAATACCTTGGTATCAATGGTGGGTCCTTCCTTAAATCCAACATCGTTCTTGAATTTCTTTAAAAATGACGGCTCTGCTGGTTTCACCCACGATACGTTCGCTTTCGGACTCTTATTCATCTTAGCCATTTTGATAGTTAGAACAAATGAATGAAACAAGGGAATTTCAGGTTGTGTTTAGCGTAACATTAAATCGTCATCACCCTGCGCCCGCTGAAGGTCATATGATCCCAGAGGTGAATCTGATTGGTTGAATCGAGTGAAGACTTTTAGACAAGGAAGTAGTCAAATATGTGACAGTACAGTCTCTAGTTTAGATACTAAATAAACATGATCTCAGGTGCATTTTATGCATTATTAGCGGGCTTTCTTGGAGCCGTTGCCTCCTCGTCAGCCAAGCTATCTCTGGGCTCAGACTACCTCAAAGGGATGTGTAAAACAGGGTTGAAAGCCTGGGCTCAGGATGGGGACTACAGGATTATTCAGGAGGAAACATCACCCTGCGAATGGGTGAGTGTGTATCTATATGAATGTATCATTTTCAAATTGTGTGTGTGAGAGCAATAGAGATTGTGTGTGAGATACCATTCTACCAGAGACCACTAACAAGTCCTATTGTATTCCAGCTCCACATCCCTCTGTGGCTGCTGTTCAACTGTAATGCTGTGATGTGGTGTAATGTTTCAGCTCCACATCCCTCTGCGGCTGCTGTGTGGAGGACTACTGTTCACCAGTAATGCTGTGATGTGGACCTTCTTCTCCAAGGCTCTGAGACACTCCTCCTCCTCAGCCCGGGCCACGGTCACCACCACCGCATCCAACTTTGTATCCTCTGTGAGTAGGGCAACTGGTTGATATCCATCAGGGCATGTATTCATAAAATGTCTCAGAGTAGGAGTGCTGACCTTATGATCAATTTCACCTTTTAGATCATAATGAATAATGAATTTATGAATACGACCCCAGATCGCATCACTCCTCCTCTGAGATGCTTTATGAATACGACCCCAGATCGCATCACTCCTCCTCTGAGATGCTTTATGAATACGACCCCAGATCTCAGTACTCCTCCTCTGAGATGCTTTATGAATACGACCCCAGATCTCATCACTCCTCTGAGATGCTTTATGAATACGACCCCAAAGCTCATCATCCCTCCTCTGAGATGCTTTATTAATACGACCCCAGATCTCATCACTCCTCTGAGATGCTTTATGAATACGACCCCAAAGCTCATCATCCCTCCTCTGAGATGCTTTATTAATACGACCCCAGATCTCAGCTATCCAATTTATATGAACAACTCACTTACAGTACAGAACGTTGACCATAAGACCATAGTGGAACTACATTATTGGAGCAATGACATCTGTGAATCAATGTGTGGATGAAAGTATTATTGGCTATTTATGTTGTCAATCCCACTTACATCATCTGTACCGTCTTTAGGCATTCCTTGGGAAGCTGATCTTTGGTGAGACCCATGCAGCACTGTGGTGGGTGGGCATCTCTCTAACTCTCTCAGGTTTACTGGTGCTGCACAGATCGACTTCTCGACCAGCAGAGGCCAAGAAGGAAGAGTGAAGGACTGTCCACATGTGAAATAACAATACCACTGCATCAATCATCCTACTGTACATTTACATTACATTTACGTCATTTAGCAGACGCTCTTATCCAGAGCGACTTACAGTTAGTGCATACATTATTCTTTATTTTATTTTCATACTGGCCCCCCGTGGGAATCGAACCCACAACCCTGGCGTTGCAAACGCCATGCTCTACCAACTGAGCTACCTCCCTGCCGGCCATTCCCTCCCCTACCCTGGACGACGCTGGGCCAATTGTGCGCCGCCCCATTGGTCTCCCGGTTGCGGCCGGCTACAGCAGAGCCTGGATACGAACCAGGATCTCTAGTGGCACAGCTAGCACTGCGATGCAGTGCCTTAGACCACTGCGCCTCACTGTTTCATCCTACTGTACAGCCTCACTGTTTCACAAACACTTTCTGGCTCAAATAACCTGGATTTCACGAGAAATGTTCTGTTATCAGAATGGGCTTTGATGGTGTCAGTCACACATTGGATTTCATGGCATGTTACAACTGACGGTACAGTGGGGAAAAAAAGTATTTAGTCAGCCACCAATTGTGCAAGTTCTCCCACTTAAAAAGATGAGAGGCCTGTAATTTTCATCATAGGTACACGTCAACTATGACAGACAAAATGAGAATTTTTTCCCCAGAAAATCACATTGTAGGATTTTTTATGAATTTATTTGCAAATTATGGTGGAAAATAAGTATTTGGTCAATAACAAAAGTTTCTCAATACTTTGTTATATACCCTTTGTTGGCAATGACACCGGTCAAACGTTTTCTGTAAGTCTTCACAAGGTTTTCACACACTGTTGCTGGTATTTTGGCCCATTTGCAAATAAATTCATTAAAAATCCTACAATGTGATTTTCTGGATTTTTTTCCCTCAATTTGTCTGTCATAGTTGACGTGTACCTATGATGAAAATTACAGGCCTCTCTCATCTTTTTAAGTGGGAGAACTTGCACAATTGGTGGCTGACTAAATACTTTTTTCCCCCACTGTATATGGATTCTAACATGGTATGTTACAACTGACATGTTTCTATTGTCTTACTGTCTCTAGGTATTATATAACCAAGGTCTGCACTCCATACACAAACATGATCATGCTTTTCTCCACTACACATTATTATACAAACAAAGAATTTTGAATAATACCATTAAGATTAAGATGTATATTTTATTGAAAATATTGTAATGACCAGTAAGACTAAATGCATATCAATTCATTGAAATAAGAGTTTTGTAAATAAACCTTTACATTTTACATTTACGTCATTTAGCAGACGCTCTTATCCAGAGCGACTTACATGAAATATCTTGTCACTTAATCTCTGACTGACATGTTCTTTATTCTGTAGTCGAGCTAATATGAGAACCAATCAATACATGGATAAACAAAGATAGCATCATTGACAACTTCCCTTTTATTCAAATGTTAGAGTAAACAATAGTGGTCCCATGATATGGAGCTTTCATTTGACTGTAGAAGTAGTATTACCATCCTGTACAAAAGGATAAAGTGCAGTACAACCATTCACTACTATCTAACCCCCTTCACTATCATCTAACCCCCCTTCACTATCATCTAACCTCATTCACTATCATCTAACCCCCTTCACTATCATCTAACCCCATTCACTATCATCTAACCCCCCTACACTATCATCTAACCCCCCATACACTATCATCTAACCCCCCATACACTATCATCTAACCCCCCATACACTATCATCTAACCCCCCATACACTATCATCTAACCCCATTCACTATCATCTAACCCCCCTTCACTATCATCTAACCTCATTCGCTATCATCTAACCCCCCTACGCTATCATCTAACCCCCCTACGCTATCATCTAACCCCATTCACTATCATCTAACCCCATTCACTATCATCTAACCCCCCTAGACTATCATCTAACCCCCTTCACTATCATCTAACCTCATTCACTATCATCTAACCCCATTCACTATCATCTAACCCCCCTAGACTATCATCTAACCCCCCTTCACTACTATCTAACCCCCTTCACTATCATCTAACCTCATTCACTATCATCTAACCCCCCTACGCTATCATCTAACCCCATTCACTATCATCTAACCCCCCTACACTATCATCTAACCCCATTCACTATCATCTAACCCCATTCACTATCATCTAACCCCAATCACTATCATCTAACCCCATTCACTATCATCTAACCCCCATAGACTATCATCTAACCCCCCTAGACTATCATCTAACCCCCCTAGACTATCATCTAACCCCCCTAGAATATCATCTAACCCCCCTTCACTACTATCTAACCCCCTTCACTATCATCTAACCTCATTCACTATCATCTAACCCCCCCTTCACTATAATCTAACCCCCCTTCACTATCATCTAACCCTCCTACACTATCTAACCCCCCTACACGATCATCTAACCCTCATTCAATAAATGTGTTTGCGCTACATGTTCCAGATTAAGACAATGATAATAAATGCATGACAATTGTATGTTAACATTTGAATGTTATTGAACATTAATAATGGAATGTTTAGATAAGGCCCTTTAATTAAAACACACTTATAAAGGTAATGTAATTCTCTGACATGATAATACAGACATAAAAAAAAGGTTAAAAACTGTTACCACCTCATTTGCATACCTTGCAGAATAAGGCTAGTAACTGTCAATTCTCAGTTTGACAGTTTATAAGGCACTCAGTGAAGTAAGAGTAGAGGAAGGCCACAGACAGTCTAGATTCTGCACAGTCCACAGGTCACTTCTAGAGCTCTTCCCTCAATACAACTGAACCATGCAGAGCTGCGTATGCATGAGATGCTCTTGAGTACTGAAAAAGCATGTTTGGGTCAATCCAACTCATCCTTGTTGAATTTATACCTCATTCACATCACCAGGGGCATAGACCTGGACATTTTGTGGGTCATTCTAAGGATTGAGTCCCTTTAAGGCTTTGGTCCAAGCAGCAGTAGCACTGTAGGAAGACACCACACTAGACTAGTGTAGTCTCTATAGAAACACTGTAGGAAGACACCACACTAGACTAGTGTAGTCTCTATAGAAACACTGTAGGAAGACACCACACTAGACCAGTGGTCTCTATAGAAGCACTGTAGGAAGACACCACACTAGACTAGTGTAGTCTCTATAGAAACACTGTAGGAAGACACCACACTAGACCAGTGGAGTCTCTATAGAAGCACTGTAGGAAGACACCACACTAGACCAGTGGAGTCTCTATAGAAATAGAATGAATAGAACTGGCGTCCCCATTCAAGCCTAGTCCAGACCCCACTCTCCCAGGGTGTCTCAGGGGGAGTTGGGATATGCAAAAAATGAAATGTCCAATTCACTCATGTGTATAATACACACCTGTCCATGTGTGAAACAGGACCAATGGAAGCACCCTCCTGATCATTATTATTAAGTCAATGACAGCATAATGGATCACAATACCAGGCATCCATAGCGAGCGTACCCATGAGTTAACCAGTAAAATTGCCAGGGTTATAACCAGGCATCCATAGCGAGCGTACCCATGAGTTAACCAGTCTTATTGCCAGGGTTATAACCAGGCATCCATAGCGAGCGTACCCATGAGTTAACCAGTCTAATTGCCAGGGTTATAACCAGGCATCCATAGGGAGCGTACCCATGAGTTAACCAGTCTAATTGCCAGGGTTATAACCAGGCATCCATAGCGAGCGTACCCATGAGTTAACCAGTCTAATTGCCAGGGTTATAACCAGGCATCCATAGCGAGCGTACCCATGAGTTAACCAGTCTAATTGCCAGGGTTATAACCAGGCATCCATAGCGAGCGTACCCATGAGTTAACCAGTCTAATTGCCAGGGTTATAACCAGGCATCCATAGCGAGCGTACCCATGAGTTAACCAGTCTTATTGCCAGGGTTATAACCAGGCATCCATAGCGAGCGTACCCATGAGTTAACCAGTCTAATTGCCAGGGTTATAACCAGGCATCCATAGGGAGCGTACCCATGAGTTAACCAGTCTAATTGCCAGGGTTATAACCAGGCATCCATAGCAAGCGTACTCAGGAGTTAACCATTCTAATTGCCAGGGTTATAGGTGCCACGCCCATTCTATTCGTTCTATTTCTATGGGAGTCTATGATACTAGACCAGTGGTATCTCTATGACGTCCTCCTCGATGATCTCCCCTTGTGGCACCACCATGTGGGCATTGGGATCCCTCTTACACTGGAGGTCAGAGAAGGGGCTGAGCCAGGATGGGGAGAAGGGCCCTCCAAACGCTGACTTCATGGCCTCCCAGCACGAAGTCTTCTCCCACCTGGCCTGCTCCCCCTTCAGACGCTCGATGCCCTGGACAGAGAGAGAACACAGTGAGCTGTAGACAGAGGGACTGAATCAAACATTTAATCATTTAGGGGTCAAATGTTCACTTAGTCATGCATTGGTTTCAATGGGAGAGAAAGTGAAAATGTGACATAAGTGTCTGGTTTCCTGAACCCAGATGAACTCCTCTTGGACTAACATGCAGGCTCAATGGAGAATCTGTGGGTGTGGAAACCAGGCCATACTATTCTGAGAAGGCATGGACACTGACAGTGTGGTCTTTTCCTATGTGTTGAAGTTGGCACAAAACAATGCAGTGAACAGACTCCTATGTGTTGGTGAAGTTGGCACAAAACAATGCAGTGAACAGACTCCTATGTGTTGGTGAAGTTGGCACAAAACAATGCAGTGAACAGACTCCTATGTGTTGGTGAAGTTGGCACAAAACAATGCAGTGAACAGACTCCAGGCTAATTATGTCAATAAAAGACATCCATGCATCCCGGGTCTTAAACGTAAACCTATAATGACTCCGGAGACAATAAGAAACGTTCAGAAACACATGCATGATGCTTTGTTGTTCAGGAAACTCATTCATTCCACAGTAACGTTAAGTGTGTACAGCACGACAAAATGTAAGTTGCCTCCATTCTGTCTGTTGCAGGCTTACCTCCGTCCCATACCATTCAGAAAGCAGCAAGTCTGACAGCCTCAAGGCTCAGAGAGACAGTTAAAAGCTTCACTAGAAGTGGTAGGAGACACATCAGTAACCAAAGCCAATGCAGAGTGAGGATAGATATACAGTGGATTGCGAAAGTATTCACCCCCCTTGGCATTTTTACTATGTTGTTGCCTTACAACCTGGAATTAAAATAGATTTTTTGGGGGGTTTGTATCATTTGATTTACACAACATGCCTACCACTTTGAAGATGCAAATAATTTGTATTGTGAAACAAACAAGAAATAAGACAAAAAAACAGAAAACTTGAGCGTGCTTAACTATTCACCCCCCCCAAAGTCAATACTTTGTAGAGCCACCTTTTGCAGCAATTACAGCTGCAAGTCTCTTGGGGTGTCTCTATAAGCTTGGCACATCTAGACACTGGGATTTTTGCCCATTCTTCAAGGCAAAACTTCTCCAGCTCCTTCAAGTTGGATGGGTTCCGCTGGAGTACAGCAATCTTTAAGTCATACCACAGATTCTCAATTGGATTGAGGTCTGGCCTTTGACTAGGCCATTCCAAGACATTTAAATGTTTGCCTTAAACCACTCAAGTGTTGCTTTAGCAGTATGCTTAGGGTCATTGTCCTGCTGGAAGGTGAACCTCCGTCCCAGTCTCAAATCTCTGGAAGACTGAAACAGGTTTCCCTCAAGAATGTCCCTGTATTTAGCACCATCCATCATTCCTTCAATTCTGACCAGTTTCCCAGTCCCTGCTGATGAAAAACATCCCCACAGCATGATGCTGTCACCACCATGCTTCACTGTGGGGATGGTGTTCTCGGGGTGATGAGAGGTGTTGGGTTTGCGCCAGACATAGCGTTTTCCTTGATGGCCAAAAAGCTTCTTCCGTATGTTTGGGGAGTCTCCCACATGCCTTTTGGTGAACACCAAACATGTTTGCTTATTCTTTGTCTTAAGCAATGGCTTTTTTCTGGCCATTCTTCCGTAAAGCCCAGCTCTGTGGAGTGTACGGCTTAAAGTGGTCCTATGGACAGATACTCCAATCTCCGCTGTGGAGCTTTGCAGCTCCTTCAGGGTTATCTTTGGTCTCTCTGATTAATGCCCTCCTTGCTTGGTCCATGAGTTTTGGTGGGCGGCCCTCTCTTGGCAGGTTTGTTGTGGTGCCATATTCTTTCCATGTTCAAAGTATCTGATATTGTTTTATAACCCAACCCTGATCTGTCCATCTCCACAACTTTGTCCCTGATCTGTTTGGAGAGGTCCTTGGTCTTCACGGTGCCGCTTGCTTGGTGGTGCCCCTTGCTTAGTGGTGTTGCAGACTCTGGGGCCTTTCAGAACAGGTGTATATATACACTGAGATCATGTGACAGATCATGTGACACTTAGATTGCACACAGGTGGACTTTATTTAACTAATTATGTGACTTCTGAAGGTAATTGGTTGCACCATATCTTATTTAGGGGCTTCATAGCAAAGGGGGTGAACACATATGCATGCACCACTTTTCCGTTATTTATTTTTTTCATCCCACTTCACCAATTTGGACTATTTTGTGTATGTCCATTACATGAAATCCAAATAAAAATCCATTTAAATTACAGGTTGTAATGCAACAAAATAGGGGGATGAATACTTTTGCAAGGCACTGTAGGTGCATGCATACAAACACCCATTGCAATGACACGATATAACAGTTCCTTGGAGAAAGATCATTAATATGGATATGACATGAAAAAAATAACAGCTTCTTAAACAAATCAGAAATATTTATTCTTTCTCTGCGCCAGTGTTGAAAAATATCAGTAAAAAAAAAAAAAGAACCATCTGTGTTAGGTTTTCACTAGCTTGTTCACAGGCAAGACATGGCAGCAGCAGTGTCAGGTCGACTCCCAAATGGCACCCTATTACATTTACATTTTAGTCATTTAGCAGACGCTCTTATCCAGAGCGACTTACAGGAGCAATTAGGGTTAAGTGCCTTGCTCAAGGGCACAGACAGATTTTCCACCTAGTCGGCTCTGAGATTAGAACCAGCGACCTTTCGGTTACTGGCACAACGCTCTTACCCACTAAGATACCTGCCGCCTATTCCCTATATAGTGCACTACTTTAGACCAGGGTCCATGGGGCTATAGTCATAAGTAGTGCACTATATAGGGAATAGGGTGCCATTTTGGGATGCATCCTCAGTTAGGTGACAGTCCTACTCAACAACCATCCATTCAAACTAAACAGAATAAAAACAGAAAGCAAAGAAAGACACAGGAGAAGAACAATCCCAATGTTGAACAATGACATAATGGGCCGGTTTCCAAGAGACAGATTACTCCTACTCAAAAGCATTATCAATAGAGATTGAAAGAGATGTTTAGTCCAGGCTTAATCTGTGTCTGGGAAACCAGCCCAATTAAGTTTTTTCAAGCATACAAAAGATCACACAAGAGAAAGTAAACATTATAAACTCCACTGATAGATACATCTCAGGAAAAGTGCATATTTGTCATGACTCATGATGTGTAACCAGCTGGACATATTTTGATGTTGATATTCAAGTAAAACTACTACTGCATAATCAGCTTTGTTGGTTAATATTTTAGAATTTTACTTTGCAAAATATATTTGAACTGTTAAGTTAATTTTGTGAATCACTACTTCCCTCTGGTTTCCACGTCTCCTGAATAACTCAAAATTAAGTTTCATTCCAACATAAAACGTATATTCTGGAGAAACTACAGAATACAAATAGTATTTTTCAAGTGCTTGGGTGATTGAGAAATATGCTGAATTTGGCACACATAGAAACTAGAAAGCAGGATCAATGAGTTACCGGCAACTTTCACACATGAAATATTCTGAAACAACTCCATGTTTTCTTGTTCCTAAAGAAGGATAAACCTGAAAGGAGCGGCATGATATGCTGTAACTTTAACTTTCTTTATACACAAGAAAATATGAGTGTTTAACAAAGTAAGATGGCTAACCTACTGATCCTCAACACCCTATACTTCCATCTGGCTTTAAAAGCCTCTCAAACGGTCAACTGTACAGGCCTAGTGAAAAGACAATATGTGTTCCCTGTGCTGGGTTAGGAGGAGGGAGGGGTTTAGTTTTGACTGACAGGAGGACGGAAGGTAGCCTGAGTGCCAGATCGGTTTGTGCTATTATGCCAACTCCTGAGTTGACATGACAGCACCAACAAACTGGCACTCAAGCTAGAACTGCGGAGAGAGGAGAGAACAGAGGGGAGAGAGGAGAAAACAGAGGAGTGAACAGAGGGGAGAGAGAACAGAGGGCAGAGAGGAGACACAGAGGGGAGAGACGAGAGAACAGAGGGAAAAGTGATTCAGAAAAACAAACAAATCAACAACATACATAAGAGTTAAAACAGGCAAAGTTTTTTACAAGTTTGAAAGTTTTAGAATATATATTTTTCTCTGCAACTCCACTTCACTTTTGTTCCCAAGCAACATAAAAAAAAAATGTGGCAATGTAAAAAGCACAATCGATAAATTGTTCAGAGTTAGAGGGATTCCAATCCCGTTCAGCATTGTGAAGGAGTGTTGGGGAGGAGAGTCAGGGTGAGGTGGAGGGATGGGGGTGGAGGAATGGAGCGGTGTTAACACCTCTGTCTCAGAGTTTGCTTCCCCCGGGTGGCTAAGCTCAGACCACATACTGGTAGGATTCAGCCTTCCCATGGGCCCTCCCAGGTCGGGTCAACGGGATAAACCAGAACATGGAGAAGGGGTGTCCAAATACCGCCTTCATGTTCATCCACTTAGTTTTTTTAGCCCATCTTCTCTCCTCCTTTTTCAACTGTTCTATGCCCTGAAAACGAGAGACAACCAAACTTCAGTGTACTGTGTGTGTACTGTGAACCAATCAAACTACTTCCTCCCTGACTGTTATTCTAACTGACGAATCACAGGACCCCCTTTGCTTTTTCCTTTTGATTTAAAACCTCTTTCACTCTAAAGTCAGGACGTGGCTTAAGCTATGACTACCTGAGCACAGACAGACTAAATGTCCATAGACTAATGTGCTGACTAAATGTCCATAGACTAATGTGCTGACTAAATGTCCATAGACTAATGTGCTGACTAAATGTCCATAGACTAATACGTTGACTAAATGTCCATGGACTAATACGTTGACTAAATGTCCATAGACTAATACGTTGACTAAATGTCCATAGACTAATACGTTGACTAAATGTCCATAGACTAATACGTTGACTAAATGTACATAGACTAATACGTTGACTAAATGTCCATAGACTAATACGTTGACTAAATGTCCATAGACTAATGTACTGACTAAATGTCCATAGACTAATACGTTGACTAAATGTCCATGGACTAATACGTTGACTAAATGTCCATAGACTAATACGTTGACTAAATGTCCATAGACTAATACGTTGACTAAATGTCCATAGACTAATACGTTGACTAAATGTACATAGACTAATACGTTGACTAAATGTCCATAGACTAATACGTTGACTAAATGTCCATAGACTAATACGTTGACTAAATGTCCATAGACTAATGTGCTGACTAAATGTCCATAGACTAATGTGCTGACTAAATGTCCATAGACTAATACGTTGACTAAATGTCCATGGACTAATACGTTGACTAAATGTCCATAGACTAATACGTTGACTAAATGTCCATAGACTAATACGTTGACTAAATGTCCATAGACTAATACGTTGACTAAATGTACATAGACTAATACGTTGACTAAATGTCCATAGACTAATACGTTGACTAAATGTCCATAGACTAATACGTTGACTAAATGTCCATAGACTAATACGTTGACTAAATGTCCATAGACTAATGCGTTGACTAAATGTCCATAGACTAATGCGTTGACTAAATGTCCATAGACTAATACGTTGACTAAATGTCCATAGACTAATACGTTGACTAAATGTTCATAGACTAATGTACTGACTAAGTGTCCATAGACTAATGTACTGACTAAATGTCCATAGATAAATGGTTGACTAAATGTCCATAGACTAATACGTTGACTAAATGTCCATAGACTAATACGTTGACTAAATGTCCATAGACTAATGTACTGACTAAATGTCCATAGACTAATACGTTGACTAAATGTCCATAGACTAATACGTTGACTAAATGTCCATAGACTAATACGTTGACTAAATGTTCATAGACTAATGTACTGACTAAATGTACATAGACTAATACATTGACTAAATGTTCATAGACTAATACGTTGACTAAATGTCCATAGACTAATATGTTGACTAAATGTCCATAGACTAATACGTTGACTAAATGTCCATAGACTAATGTACTGACTAAATGTCCATAGACTAATGTACTGACTAAATGTCCATAGACTAATGTGTTGACTAAATGTCCATAGACTAATGTACAGTGCATTCGGAAAGCATTCAGACCCCTTGACTTTTCCACATTTTGTTACGTTACAGCGTTATTCTAAAATGAATTAAATAGTTTTTTTTCTCATCAATCTAAACACAATACCCCATAATGACAAAGCAAAAACAGGTTTTTAGAATTTTCTCCCCAAGAAATAAAATAAAAACTGAAATATCACATTTACATAAGTATTCAGACCCTTTACTTAGTACTTTGTTGAAGCACCTTTGGCAGCGTTTCCACCCTCGAGTCTTCTTGGGTATCACACTACAAAGCTTGGCACACCTGTATTTGGGGAGTTTCTCCCATTCTTCTCTGCAGATCCTCTGAAGCTCTGTCAGGTTGGATGGGGAGTGTCGCTGCACAGCTATTTTCAGGTCTCTCCAGAGATGTTCGATCATGTTCAAGTCCAGGCTCTGGCCACTCAAGGACATTCAGAGACTTGTCCCTAAGCCACTCCTGCGTTGTCTTGGCTGTGTGCTTAGGGTCGTTGTCCTGTTGGAAGGTGAACCTTCGCCCCAGTCTGAGGTCCTGAGCGCTCTGGAACAGGTTTTCATCAAGGATCTCTCTGTACTTTGCTCCGTTAATCTTTCCCTCGATCCTGACTAGTCTCCCAGTCCCTACCGCTGAAAAATATCCCCACTGCATGATGCTGCCACCACCATGCTTCACCATAGGGATGGTGCCAGGTTTCCTCCAGACGTGACGCTTGGCATTTAGGCCAAAGAGTTCAATCTTTGTTTCATCAGACCAGAGAATCTTGTTTCTCATGGTCTGAGAGTCTTTAGGTGCCTTTTGGCAAACGCCAAGTGGGCTGTCATGTGCCTTTTACTGAGGAATGGCTTCCGTCTGGCCACTCTACCATACGGGCCTGATTGGTGGAGTCCTGCAGAGATGGTTGTCCTTCTGGAAGGTTGTCCCATCTCCACAGAGGAACTCTGGAGCTCTGTCAGAGTGACCATTGGGTTCTTGGTCACCTCCCTGACCAAGGCCCTTCTCCCCCGATTACTCAGTTTGGCCTGGCGGCCAGCTCTAGGAAGAGTCTTGGTGGTTCCAAACTTCTTCCATTTAAGAATGATGGAGGCCACTGTGTTCTTGGGGACCTTCAATGCTGCAGAAAGGTTTTTGTACCCTTCCCCAGATCTGTGCCTCGACACAATCCTGTCTCGGAGCTCTACGGACAATTCCTTCGACCTCATGGCTTGGTTTTTGCTCTGACATGCACTGTCAACTGTGGGACCTTATATAGACAGGTGTGTGCCTTTCCAAATCATGTCCAAGCGATTGAATTTACCACAGGTGGACTCCAATCAAGTTGTAGTAACATCAAGGATGTTCAATGGAAACAGGATGCACCTGAGCTCAATTTCGAGGCTCATAGCAAAGGGTCTGAATACTTATGTAATAAGGTATTTCTGTTGGGGGGGGGGGGGTTTATGAGGAAAACAAATAATTTAATCCATTGTAACGTAACAAAATGTGGAAAAAGTCAAGGGGTCTGAACACTTTCCGAATGCACTGTATTGACTAAATGTAAATACACTGTACACTGAGGTCTAATGAACATCATTCCCCACTTCTGAGGCTCCATGAGAGAGAATACAGCCAGACATGTTGTCTATTTCTAGGAATACAACCTAGCCCTAACTATGTAACCTAGCCCTAACTATGTAACCTAGCCCTAACTATACAAGCTAGCCCTAACTATTTACATTTTACGTCATTTAGCAGACGCTCTTATCCAGAGCGACTTACAGTTAGTGAATACATTTTTTTATATATACTGGCCCCCCGTGGGAATCGAACCCACAACCCTGGCGTTGCAAACGCCATGCTCTATCAACTAAGCTACATCCCTGCCGGCCATTCCCTCCCCTACCCTGGACGACGCTGGGCCAATTGTGCGCCGCCCATGAGTCTCCCGGTCGCGGCAGGCTGCGACAGAGCCTGGATTCGAACCAGGATCTAGTGGCACAGTTAGCACTGCGATGCAGTGCCTTAGACCACTGCGCCACTCAGGACACTATACAACCTAGCCCTAACTATACAACCTAGCCCTAACTATACAACCTAGCCCTAACTATGTAACCTAGCCCTAACTATACAACCTAGCCCTAACTATGTAACCTAGCCCTAACTATGTAACCTAGCCCTAACTATGTAACCTAGCCCTAACTATGTAACCTAGCCCTAACTATGTAACCTAGCCCTAACTATGTAACCTAGCCCTAACTATGTAACCTAGCCCTAACTATGTAACCTAGCCCCAACTATACAACCTAGCCCTAACTATACAACCTAGCCCCAACTATACAACCTAGCCCCAACTATACAACCTAGCCCCAACTATACAACCTAGCCCTAACTATAAAACCTAGCCCTAACTATAAAACCTAGCCCTAACTATACAAAGTAGCCCTAACTACACAATCAGGCCTGAAGTTGCAGACAAAAAGATGTTAGAGCATGAAAGCAGAGTTAGTTTAGTTAGAGTTTTAAAGCACTAAACGTTGTACAGAGAGATCTACAGTCTACTCACTACATTGTTTATGACGGTACAGAACCATCAGAGGAAACTGATCCTTTCTCACAGAGAGATCTACAGTCTACTCACTACATGGTTTATGACGGTACAGAACCATCAGAGGAAACTGATCCTTTCTCACAGAGATACCTACAGTCTACTCACTACATGGTTTATGACGGTACAGAACCATCAGAGGAAACTGATCCTTTCTCACAGAGAGATCTACAGTCTACTCACTACATGGTTTATGACGGTACAGAACCATCAGAGGAAACTGATCCTTTCTCACAGAGAGATCTACAGTCTACTCACTACATGGTTTATGACGGTACAATAGAGGAAACTGATCCTCTCACACAGATACATGGACACGTTTCTTCATACTTGCTGACAGTAAACTCAACAGAGCATCTGCAAGCCTTGGCTGAATTTTATGTTCAAGTTTCAAGTTGAAGATTTCCTTTATATAGGAAACTCACTGTTACTGTAGAAACAAGACTAGACTCATAACTCCCACAAGGAGATGATCCAACTACAAGCAGAGCCTTTTATATACACTCTTAGACACTAACTTCCACTTAAGTCCAATTTTCAGGAGACTAAGTGAACATTTTACTAAGTGGAAGTTAGGATTCACCTCTTTGTGGGTAAGCTGTTGTAGAGAGGTTAAGGTTCATAGGTCATACATACAGTAGATAAGCACCAAAGCAACAGCAGTGGGGAGCAGACTTGGCTTAAATACACAGGTCAAATACTTGAGGTGCACTTGATTAAGTTTGCCTGTCCAATGTAATAGGCCCAGCTGAAATGCCAATGGAATAGTCATAAGAGTGCAAACTCCACCCTGCACATCAGTCAAGCTAAATAAAGCACACCTAAAGCATTTGACATAACATTACATATTTAATCCAGGTCTGATGAAGAGGAGGTGAAGGACAGAAGAGAGGAGCATGGTGGTCTAATACTTACTGTCTCATCTGTACAGATGGAATGGACCTGAGTCCCGAACATCACGGAGGTGAAGAGGAGGAAGAGGAGGGCCTCAAAGCACAGGAGGATGAGGAGGATGACGGTCGCAGGAGGTGAGAAGGAACTGCACTCTGGGAGTTGGAGTTCAGGAGGGAGGGGAGGGAGGGAGGGGAACATTTACACTCACAGCACAGTGAAAGCAACATTTCTAGACGGGCTGATGTGGTCTAGGCAGCTATATGCTGGATGCTAAGCATATTGTACATCAGTCTTTTCAGATAGATGACTGGAACAATGGCAAAGGTGCATAAAGTTGTCGGAATTCAGATATGACATCATTGTTTTAGCACTACCTACAGTTTTTAAACTACGGCACGTGACATGGTTCAATGTGCCAATAAATCAGCACAATCTACTTTTGGGGTTTTTCAAATTGGCAGCGTCTTGGAGCTAGAACTGAGATCATGTATACTGTGATGCCGAGTAACGGAGAGCAACGTACAATACGGAGAACTGAGCCAACAAGGCATTAGTGGTAAGTACATTGGGGTGTCCATCTTTATGGACCTCCTCTATTGATTGTATGAGATTGAGAATGTTGCATTGTGTGACAAGTGGTTTTAACTGTTGATTGCATCCACATTACAAATAATTATGGTATGAACAAACGCTAAATAGAAATGACATTTCTCAGCATAGAAGAGTGAGCATCAAAGTGCACGAACAACATGCAGAGTTGAATCACACACAGACAGTCATACACTTACTGAGCAACATAGTGTGTATCTCTGCAATACTGCAGTGACTATGTGGAAACGAGGCTACTCCATATTCCCTTTGAGCGGCTGGATCCAAACAACCTTCACAGAACTACTGTACACAGTGCCAGTGACCAACAGAACTACTGTACACAGTGCCAGTAACCAACAGAACTACTGTACACAGTGCCAGTAACCAACAGAACTACTGTACACAGTGCCAGTAACCAACAGAACTACTGTACACAGTGCCAGTGACCAACTACTGTACACAGTGCCAGTGCCCAACAGAACCACTGTACACAGTGCCAGTGCCCAACAGAACCACTGTACACAGTGCCAGTGCCCAACAGAACCACTGTACACAGTGCCAGTGCCCAACAGAACCACTGTACACAGTGCCAGTGCCCAACAGAACTACTGTACACAGTGCCCAACAGAACTACTGTACACAGTACCCAACAGAACTACTGTACACAGTACAGTGCCCAACAGAACTACTGTACACAGTGCCAGTGACCAACAGAACTACTGTACACAGTGCCAGTGCCCAACAGAACCACTGTACACAGTGCCAGTGACCAACATAACTACTGTACACAGTGCCAGTGCCCAACAGAACTACTGTACACAGTGCCAGTGCCCAACAGAACTACTGTACACAGTGCCAGTGCCCAACAGAACCACTGTACACAGTGCCAGTGACCAACAGAACTACTGTACACAGTGCCAGTGACCAACATAACTACTGTACACAGTGCCAGTGCCCAACAGAACTACTGTACACAGTACAGTGCCCAACAGAACTACTGTACACAGTACAGTGCCCAACAGAACTACTGTACACAGTGCCAGTGACCAACAGAACTACTGTACACAGTGCCAGTGCCCAACAGAACCACTGTACACAGTGCCAGTGACCAACAGAACTACTGTACACAGTGCCCAACAGAACTACTGTACACAGTGCCAGTGACCAACAGAACTACTGTACACAGTGCCAGTGACCAACAGAACCACTGTACACAGTGCCAGTGACCAACAGAACCACTGTACACAGTGCCAGTGACCAACAGAACTACTGTACACAGTGCCCAACAGAACTACTGTACACAGTGCCAGTGCCCAACAGAACTACTGTACACAGTGCCAGTGCCCAACAGAACTACTGTACACAGTGCCCAACAGAACTACTGTACATAGTGCCCAACAGAACTACTGTACACAGTGCCCAACAGAACTACTGTACACAGTGCCAGTGCCCAACAGAACTACTGTACACAGTGCCAGTGCCCAACAGAACTACTGTACACAGTGCCAGTGACCAACAGAACTACTGTACACAGTGCCAGTGCCCAACAGAACCACTATACACAGTGCCAGTGACCAACATAACTACTGTACACAGTGCCAGTGACCAACAGAACTACTGTACACAGTGCCAGTGACCAACAGAACTACTGTACACAGTGCCAGTGACCAACAGAACTACTGTACACAGTGCCAGTGCCCAACAGAACTACTGTACACAGTACAGTGCCCAACAGAACTACTGTACACAGTACAGTGCCCAACAGAACTACTGTACACAGTACAGTGCCCAACAGAACTACTGTACACAGTACAGTGCCCAACAGAACTACTGTACACAGTGCCAGTGACCAACAGAACTACTGTACACAGTGCCAGTGCCCAACAGAACCACTGTACACAGTGCCAGTGCCCAACATAACTACTGTACACAGTGCCAGTGCCCAACAGAACCACTGTACACAGTGCCAGTGCCCAACAGAACCACTGTACACAGTGCCAGTGCCCAACAGAACCACTGTACAGTGCCAGTGACCAACAGAACCACTGTACACAGTGCCAGTGACCAACATAACCACTGTACACAGTGCCAGTGCCCAACAGAACTACTGTACACAGTGCCCAACAGAACTACTGTACACAGTGCCAGTGCCCAACAGAACTACTGTACACAGTGCCAGTGCCCAACAGAACTACTGTACACAGTGCCCAACAGAACTACTGTACACAGTGCCCAACATAACTACTGTACAGTGCCCAACAGAACTACTGTACACAGTACCCAACAGAACTACTGTACACAGTGCCAGTGACCAACAGAACTACTGTACACAGTGCCAGTGCCCAACAGAACCACTGTACACAGTGCCCAACAGAACTACTGTACACAGTGCCCAACAGAACTACTGTACACAGTGCCCAACAGAACTACTGTACACAGTGCCCAACAGAACTACTGTACACAGTGCCAGTGCCCAACAGAACCACTGTACACAGTGCCAGTGACCAACAGAACCACTGTACACAGTGCCAGTGACCAACAGAACCACTGTACACAGTGCCAGTGACCAACAGAACCACTGTACACAGTGCCAGTGCCCAACAGAACTACTGTACACAGTGCCCAACATAACTACTGTACACAGTGCCAGTGACCAACAGAACCACTGTACACAGTGCCAGTGCCCAACAGAACTACTGTACACAGTGCCCAACAGAACTACTGTACACAGTGCCAGTGACCAACAGAACCACTGTACACAGTGCCAGTGACCAACAGAACCACTGTACACAGTGCAGTGCCCAACAGAACTACTGTACACAGTGCCCAACAGAACTACTGTACACAGTGCCAGTGACCAACAGAACCACTGTACACAGTGCCAGTGCCCAACAGAACCACTGTACACAGTGCCAGTGCCCAACAGAACTACTGTACACAGTGCCCAACAGAACTACTGTACACAGTGCCAGTGACCAACAGAACCACTGTACACAGTGCCAGTGACCAACAGAACCACTGTACACAGTGCAGTGCCCAACAGAACTACTGTACACAGTGCCAGTGACCAACAGAACTACTGTACACAGTGCCAGTGACCAACAGAACTACTGTACACAGTGCCAGTGACCAACAGAACTACTGTACACAGTGCAGTGCCAGTGACCAAAAGGAATACTGAGTGTCAGGAAGTATAGGACGTCAAACTAAAAAGGAGTGCACTGTCCTTTATGACTTTACTAGAGGCAGATCAACTAGTAGAGTAACTTGAACAGTTTCACATGAGATGGGTGGTATTGCCTCATCTGAAACACTTATTAAGAACACATAACCAGAGACCATCGTTAGGGTTGAGAGGAGCTGATTGAAAAATCTTTGTGTTATAATGAGATCTAGATCAAACCAATGAGCAGCCAGGTTTAAAAGGTCAAAACGACTTACTTGTCCAATCATCTTCAAAGCAGTAGAGGAAGTGGAAGACCACCATCACCAGAGAGTGGAGAGAGATGAGTGCAATGTACATCTGGAACAAAGAGACTCATGGTAAGACAGTGTCAAGTGTCAACGTAGTCACACAAACTGTAAGTCACTTTCAGGGCATTTGACAACCCAAACATCTTAATCTACACCTTTCCAATAGGAAATGTGTATTTGCAAATCCATAAGCTACATTTGCTACTTGTCTGTGTTACTGTAGCAGGCTGAAGGTGTAATGGTGTCTTACGGAATACGTAAACTACAGTATGGAATGTTACAGTATGTAAAGTATGCAACGGTACGTACTGTGAAGAGAACAAAGTACTTCTGGTTGTTCTCTCCCACACAGTTGTTCACCCAGGGACAGTGGTGGTCCATCTTCCGTATGCAGCGCTTGCACACACTAGTATGGAGGGGAAAACAAATGAATAACAACAACACAGTCCCATGTTTCTCAGCAAGATGTGCTAAAGTCAAGTGTTCAGCAGACAGTCTGCCAAAAGGTAACTGGTGATCCTAAAGTCAAAGTGTTCAGCAGACAGTCTACCTCAGGTAACTGGTGGTCCTAAAGACAAAGTGTTCAGCAGACAGTCTGCCTCAGGTAACTGGTGGTCCTAAAGTCAAAATGTTCTGGAGACATTCTGCCTCAGGTAACTGGTGGTCCTAAAGTCAAAGTGTTCAGCAGACAGTCTGCCTCAGGTAACTGGTGGTCCTAAAGTCAAAGTGTTCAGCAGACAGTCTGCCTCAGGTAACTGGTGGTCCTAAAGACAAAGTGTTCAGCAGACAGTCTGCCTCAGGTAACTGGTGGTCCTAAAGTCAAAGTGTTCAGCAGACAGTCTGCCTCAGGTAACTGGTGGTCCTAAAGTCAAAGTGTTCAGCAGACAGTCTGCCTCAGGTAACTGGTGGTGCTAAAGTCAAAGTGTTCAGCAGACAGTCTGCCTCAGGTAACTGGTGGTGCTAAAGTCAAAGTGTTCAGCAGACAGTCTGCCTCAGGTAACTGGTGGTGCTAAAGTCAAAGTGCACAGCAGAGTCACGTGGGACCACCGAAAAAGATGGCAGCACTTTAGAGAGCTCCTAACATCCGCATGTAAATACTGAAATTCAACGGCATACACTTTCATTTGTGTCTTAATACATTTTGAAACATCTTGCTAAAGTGGCGTTGTTGGAATGTTGACACACTTCTTCAAGCCTAACACGCGGTATTCACAGAAGGCCACATTGACTCCCAAATCCCCCCACCAAGACATGGATAAACACGGAAACCCACAGAAATTGGTAAATCTGAAGGATCTATTTGAGCAAATGGGAAAGATGAACACGATTTTGTTGGATGTTGCATCTGATGTCTCCACGATAAAAACAACAACTACCGAGCTAAAGGAAAAAGTTGATGCGATACAAGAGAGGATGGAGGGGGCAGAGGGACGGATTTCGACAGTGGAGGATGCCGTCTCCCGTCTGGAGAAGGGTAATGAGAATCACCAGAAAAGGCTGGACATATTGTGGAATCGTGTGGAAGAACTTGAGAACAGAAGTAGGAGAAATACAGTGAGATTGGTTCATCTGAAAGAGGGGAGTGAGGCTGGCGGAGGAACAGAAGTAGGAGAAATAAGGTGAGATTGGTTCATCTGAAAGAGGGGAGTGAGGCTGGCGATGGAACAGAAGTAGGAGAAATAAGGTGAGATTGGTTCATCTGAAAGAGGGGAGTGAGGCTGGCGGAGGAACAGAAGTAGAGAAATAAGGTGAGATTGGTTCATCTGAAAGAGGGGAGTGAGGCTGGCGATGGAACAGAAGTAGGAGAAATAAGGTGAGATTGGTTCATCTGAAAGAGGGGAGTGAGGCTGGCGGTGGAACAGAAGTAGGAGAAATAAGGTGAGATTGGTTCATCTGAAAGAGGGGAGTGAGGCTAGCGGTGGACTAATCTCGTGTGCAGAAAATCATCGCAGAAGGATTTGGATTTGATGACAGGCACGAATTCGAAATTGAACAAACCCATGCATGACAAGAATGGGCCCCCGAGAACAGTTCACATCCGCTTTCTACAGTCTACAGCCCGGGACAAGGTACTTAAAGCGGTGAAAGAAAAGGGTGGCGTTCAGTGGGAAGGCCGCCGGCTGTCTTTTTTCCCAGACCTGTCCAAGGAACTGGCAATGAAGAGGAAGAAGTTATCCTACCTACAGTGGTGTGCTGGGTCATCCTACCTACAGTGGTGTGTTGGGTCATCCTACCTACAGTGGTGTGCTGGGTCATCCTACCTACAGTGGTGTGCTGGGTCATCCTACCTACAGTGGTGTGTTGGGTCATCCTACCTACAGTGGTGTGCTGGGTCATCCTACCTACAGTGATGTGCTGGGTCATCCTACCTACAGTGGTATGCTGGGTCATCCTACCTACAGTGGTGTGCCCGGTCAGGCTTGATGCTGCAGCATTTGGGACACTTGTAGACCACCTGTCCCGGCTTCAGCTGAAGACTCTCGATGTACTCTTTAGTGGCATTCCCTTTTGGCACAGCTCCCTGTAGGACATACAGAGCAATAGGAATGAGGACATGATTGCTTATCACGAGTCACCTGTTGGCACAACAAATGGGGCCTACTGTTGCAGTGGTCAGGCATTGTTATAGAATATCAGTGACGTGCTTTAAGTTGAAGATGGTGTTTTACTGTATGACTGCTGTCTTGCGAGCTCTGACCCAACTTTGCTCATTTGTGAATCTTTAGCGATTATCTTTACTTATGATCGACAAGAACTTCTGAACCTCAGATCGGCAGTTACTAACCTCAATTCCAGCTTCAACATCGACTCATCTGCCCTGGGCTCTTTGTGTAATTCCGACCCAATTTTTGGGCTATCCAAGAGGAAACGCAGGCGAAAAAGAGGCAGGAGTGGGGAGCGCTGGGGAGATTAAGGCCAATAGTAAACCGGCCACCTCTGACCTCCGATAGCGGATTTGCTATCAACGGGACTCTCATAACCGCAATATTCTGGCCTTTTCTGAAACATGGCTTTCGGACAAGACACCCCCCATGGCTATCCAACTCGATGGATTCGCCAACCACCAAGTGGACAGGACATTGGATTCAGGGAAATCCAGATGGGGAGGGGTAAGCCTCTTCATCAACAACAAATTGTGTGCTGACTCTAGTGCAGTGGAAGTCTCCACCCATTGTTCACCCGTCTTGGAATACCTGATGGTCAAATGCCGACCCTTCTACCTACTGAGAGAGTTTTCATCTGTTATCATGACTGCTGTATATATTCCACCTCAGGACAATAAAAACAACAAGCTGGCACTTAAACTGTACGAGGCTATAAACAAGCAGGAAACCATACACCCGGAGGCTGCTTTCCTCATTTTAATTCAGAATCGTTAAGGCACGTAATGCCAACTTCCATTAACAGGTCTCCTTCGCCACTAGGGGCAATAAAGTCCTAGACCACTGTTACTCTACGCACAAGCAAACATACAAGGCCCTCCTTCGTTCCCCCTTCAACAAATCAGATCATGACTCTACACTCCTGCTTCTTATTTAGAAGCAGAAGCTCAAACAGGAAGTACCCGTAACTCGCTCCATTGAGAAACGGTCCTCCGTTTCGGAGGCTATGCTACAAGACTGCTTTGCTAGCACTGACTGGAATATGTTCCGGGACTCCGCCGATAGCGTCGACGAGCTAACCACCTCTGGCACCGGCTTTAATAGGTAATGCATCGCCAACATTGTCCCCACAGTGAAGGTTTGCTGCTTCCCCAATCAAAAATCCTGGATTAACACCGAAGCTAAGGCTGAGGACACGAACAAGTAGAAGAAGTCCTGCTACGACCTCCACAGAGCCTTCTAACAAGGAAAGGACAATCTAGAAACAAGGTGGAATTCTATTACACATGTGGCAGGGGCTACAGTCCATTACGGATTACAAAAGAACACCCAGCGGGGATCTGCCAAATGATGGCCTCTCTACCAGACGAACTCAATGCATTTAGGCACGCTTAGACAAAAACAACACAGAGCCGTGCACAAGGGCCCCCGCCGACCCACGGGACAACACTCAAGTCAACACTCGTAAGGCCTTCGGGTATCCTGTACTTCCTGACTGGCCGACCCCAGGTGGTGAGGCAAAATTACCTCCGCCACGCTGACCTTCAACACGGGGGCCCCACAGGGGGGTGTGCTTAGTCCCCTCCTGTACTCCCTGTTCACCCACAACTGTGTGGCCACCCACGACTCCAACACCATCATTAAGTTTGCTGAAGACATGACGGTGATAGGCCTGATCACAGACAACGATGAGACAGCCTATAGGGAGGAGGTCAGAGACCTGGCAGTGTGGTGCCAGGACAACAACCTCTCCCTCAACGTCAGTAAGACAAAGGAGCTGATCGTGGACTACAGTAAACAGAGGGCCGAGCACGCCCATTGTAAATATGGTATTGGCACTGACCCTGGAACTGATCCTGCATATATCTTACTTACTTACTTTCTCGTGTTCATCTTATTTCTATTTCTCATGTGTTTTTGTTGTAGACTTTTTACTTGATAGTACTACTGCATTGTTGGGATAGAGCCAGCAAGAAATGCATTTCACAGTACTAGTGCACTTGACAATAACAACTTGATATGTGAGTAAGGTCGTGTTCAGTTAGGCACACAACAATAACAAAACGCTCCTTTTCCTTTTACTGTTTCAAAACTTTGTGCTATGTACGGTGTGGTGCCTAACTGAATACAACCCAGATAACACCAGTGTGTCTAGTTTACAGAGCCCAGAGTCTAAGTTTACAGAGCCTCGAGTCTAAGTTTACAGAGCCCCGAGTCTAAGTTTACAGAGCCCCGAGTCTAAGTTTACAGAGCCCCGAGTCTAAGTTTACAGAGCCCCGAGTCTAAGTTTACAGAGCCCCGAGTCTAAGTTTACAGAGCCCCGAGTCTAAGTTTACAGAGCCCCGAGTCTAAGTTTACAGAGCCCCGAGTCTAAGTTTAGGGAGCTGTGCCGTGTGTAAAGTGTACAGTCAGAGCAGTGTAAAGTGTGTTCAGTTTCAACTCACAGGGTCGGTGCACATGGCCCTGAAGTGAGAGGCGAGAGCCAGGAAGGCCAGAGTATTGAACACAGTCCCGTTGACTAAGCTATAGGTCAGGTTTTTAGAAGGCAACAGCATGACGAAGAGCACTACAAATTCAGCATAGAACACCAACATCCAAGTGATGAACCCACACACGATGCCACACGCGTCCCTGAATGAATGGATGAAATAATTGTATTAAGACACATTTCAAAAACACAGTGTTGCCTCAGCTATTTGAGTTTTAAAAAATGCATACATTCAAATACATACTTAATTATCTTTAATGAAGTCAGCTGACTCATTTCCACTGTGGTGCTCGTTATCACTAGGTGGGCAGATAGAATAGACAGCCTGGGCAAGATGTTCTGTGCACTGAGCACTTCAAAAGGCACTTCACATTCAATACAACTGGAAAATACAGACAGTGTAGGTCTATACACAATCACCTAGACTAGACCAGGTCAGTAATCCAGTGATCTACCATGACCTCCCATTACAAAGGCTTAGGGTTGAAAAATGATATACAGTGGTGTGAAAAAGTGTTTGCCCCCTTGCTGATTTGTTATTTGTTTGCATGTTTGTCACACTTAAATGTTTCAGATCATCAAACTAATTTAAATATTAGTCAAAGATAACACAAGTAAACACAAAATGCAGTTTTGAAATGAAGGTTGTTATTATTATTAAGGAAAAACAAAATCCAAACCCACATGGCCCTGTGTGAAAAAGTGTTTGCCCCCCCCTGTTATAACACAACTCAACTGTGGTTTATCACACCTGAGTTCAATTCCTCTAGCCACACCCAGGCCTGATTACTGCCACACCTGTTCTCAATCAAGGAATATCTTAAATAGGACCTGCCTGACAAAGTGAAGTAGACCAAAAGATCCTCAAAATCTAGACATCATGCCGAGATCCAAAGAAATTCAGGAACAAATGAGAAAGAAAGTAATTGAGATCCATCAGTCTGGAAAATGTTATAAAACCATTTCTAAAGCTTTGGGACTCCAGCGAACCACAGTGAGAGCCGTTATCCACAAATGGCAAAAACATGGAACAGTGGTGAACCTTCCCAGGAGTGGCCGGCCGACCAAAATTACCCCAAGAGCGCAGCGACGACTCATCCAAGAGGTCACAAAAGACCCCACAACAACATCCAAAGAGCTGCAGGCCTCACTTGCCTCAGTTAAGGTCAGTGTTCATGACTCCACCATAAGAAAGAGACTGGGCAAAAATGGCCTGCATGGCAGAGTTCCAAGACGAAAACCACCGCTGAGCAAAAATAACATTAAGGCTCGTCTCATTTTTGCCAGAAAACATCTTGATGATCCCCAAGACCTTTGGGAAAATACACCTTTTTGGAAGGTGTGTGTCCCATTACATCTGGCGTAAAAGTAACACCGCATTTCAGAAAAAGAACATCATACCAACAGTAAAATATGGTGGTGGTAGTGTGATGGTCTGGGCTTGTTTTGCTGCTTCAGGACCTGGAAGACTTGCTGTGATAAATGGAACCATGAATTTGGCTGTCTACCAAAAAATTCTGAAGGAGAATGTCCGGCCATTTGTTCGTGACCTCAAGCTGAAGCGAACTTGGGTTCTGCAGCAGGACAATGATCCAAAACACATCAGCAAGTCCACCTCTGAATGGCTGAAGAAAAACAAAATGAAGATAGAACACCAACAGATGAACCACTGCGCCACTCCTGAGTGGCGCAGTGGTCTACGGCACTGCATCGCAGTGCTAACTGTGCCACTAGAGATCCTGGTTCGAATCCAGGCTCTGTCGCAGCCGGCCGCGACCGGGAGACTCATGGGCGGCGCACAATTGGCCCAGCGTCGTCCAGGGTAGGGAATGGCCGGCAGGGATGTAGCTCAGTTGATAGAGCATGGCGTTTGCAACGCCAGGGTTGTGGGTTCGATTCCCACGGGGGGCCAGTATAAAAAAATTATATGTATTCACTAACTGTAAGTCGCTCTGGATAGGAGCGTCTGCTAAATGACTAAAATGTAAATGTAAAATGTAAGATTTTGGAGTGGCCTAGTCAAATTCCTGACCTGAATCCTATGTTCCATGTGGGTTTGGATTTCGTTTTCCCTTAATAATAACAACCTTCATTTCAAAACTGCATTTTGTGTTTACTTGTGTTATCTTTTTGTTTGATGATCTGAAACATTTAAGTGTGACAAACATGCAAACAAATAAGAAATCAGGAAGGGGGCAAACACTTTTTATATAGGAAGGGGGCAAACACCACTGTATATATATTTTTTAAATAGCCAAAATTCCCAGGTTTTCTGGAAGATTCCTGGAATTAGGTTGAAATAAGCAGGAAATTCAGGAATCCTCCAACCGGGATTTCTGGAAAACTTGGCAATTTTGGGAAAGTTACCAGAATTGTGCAACCCCTAACAGATTTTTCTACCCATTCAATGCATGCTAACGCGAAGGTCTAGCAACCCAAAACATTGCGCGTTCGAACCACATGGACACCTTTGGTTCCCGTGTGGCTCAGTTGGTAGAGCAAGCCGCTTGCAACACCAGGGTTGTGGGTTTGAGTCCCACGGGGGACCAGTATGAAAAAGTATGTACTCACTACTATAAATCGCTCTGGATAAGAGCATCTGCTAAAATGTAAATATAACTACCTGATAAACCACATGCTGCTGGAGGTGTGCTGGGAGACAGGGACACACTGCTGCTCAGTCTGCAGGCAGGGAGCCTGCCTCTCCACGTCCCTACACCTGAAGAAGAACATGTTATTAACTCATACCAGATGGAAATGTCTTCTGCTGTACCAAATAGATGGGTCTTTCTAGAAGTAATGGGGCCAATGTGTGGCCTTGGGATTAAAATGTCTAAATGGTTTGAAACTAAAATAAAAAGGGTTTTATTGCAGTTCCACATGTGTACTTAGAGGAATAAAAGTTCATATGCTAATCATCCCATAACTCCACATACACAACAACATAGCTCTAGGACTATACATCCTTTAAGCAGGGTTCATACAGACATCAGCAAGTCAAATTCAAGGACTTCTTAAAGCACTTCATTGTAATTTTCAAGGACCTCAATGTTATACAATTGTATAACTTACATAATTGTACATATAGGGCCTAATATAGATTTTTTTTTAAGTTGGCCATTACCACTAAGAATAATGAATTGTTTTGTGTTAATATTTTATAATTTAAGTGAGAATAAGGTGGACAATGCCTGACTAAATAGACTGGCTGCATGGTGATTTTTCTGTAGTCTGTGTTGGCCGACGCAGCCACACATAATAAAGCCATGAATAGCGGTACCATTAATCTCACCATTTGAATCTCACCATCGCTGTTTTTAACCATTAGAAAGTGACCAAAAAAACGGGTTCCTTTTTTAAATGGAAAGATTTGTATGGAAAGCCAAGCTGAAGCCAACAGATGTTGTGGTCCTTATAATAACCACATGGTTTTACCGCAACACCCTTCCATTGAAGCGGTGGGAAACAAAGTGGCCACATCTCACACAAAAACTGATCAAAAATGAAATCAGCTTATAAAATTGGCTACAATAATTACAAGGACTTTTCAAGCACAAAATTGAGGAAATGTCTGATTTTAAAGGCAAGGCCTATTCCATAAATCGAATTTCTGAGCTCCAAGTTGAAGTAGGCTACTTCAAGCCCCTAGTATTGTTTAAAATTGCAGGTGTAACATGGAAACCAAAATGTATTTCATGTTATTTCATTACCAGATCATATTGTGAAGAAGCTCACTAGGCTATGTCATGTGAATATCCAGAATAATTCATAGGAATAGTGTTGGGTGTTGCACAATAGTCTATCCTACACAATTGCGCACAGTAGACTGTGTCCAATCCGAGGCACAAAAACATATGAAAACATGAACTCATTACCTTAACGCTTTCTCTGTTAAATCTAACGAGACCCTGCTCTAAATCAAGCAGACAACAGATGATTAATTCACTAGGGATATTAGATCTAATGTGGATCCAGGCACAACTCTTCACCGGTGTAACGAATGAGACACCAAATATTCTTCACATTCCTCATGAACACCTTTTTTTCCAACACTTGGGCTGTTGTTGCATCGCATGTGCTATCACAACAGCTATTCATCACTTGACTGGACATTCGGAAAATTCCTTCCTGGATCAGATGACGTGTGAAAATATCAGGCATAACTAACCAGTAACAAGTACTATGCATAATTATTGAAGAACCAACTTAATGACAGTATCGATTTAGGTTTTAAGTATGAAGGTAAGGTGACTCTTTCGGTTAGAAGCATTCGATTTTGCAATCGCATACATAATTTTGGATTTGTGTGCCCATGAAAACTGTTTTCACCCCGTAACACAAGGAGACACTAAATGTTACTTATTTACACCGCATTTCTGAGATCACTATACAAAAAAAAAAAGTCCAACAGCTAGATCCAGGATTCTTACAGGGTTCAAGTTCAATGTCTAATTTAACTGATTAATACTTAATATATGTTATAACAACAACTTGCACTGCCATAAATGCAAGGACAGAAAAGTAATGTTTTATGTCACACAATTTTGGACAAATCCATCAAGACAACAACCATGATAAAGGGTTAACCAACTCATTCATTTTATTGAATATAGCTATGATTCCCACTTATATCTTAATGTAACGACATGAAAACAATTGGCAGATTATTATCAATGACTGATCAACAGCTGTAACAAGTTGTCCAGTGTAGGAAATCCTCACTGGTACACTAGTTTCTAGAAAGACCCACATGCACTCAGGCCCTGCAGTCACACAAACACACCTGTGCACCGGGCTCTTCATCTTACAGACTCAGGCTGGGGCTGCCTCACCGTCACCGCATGCTGTGGGCAGAAAGGGAAGAAGAAGAAGAAGAGGTACGACTGTGAGCAAATGGTGGCACATTCAGTAAACATACAGGAGCAAGGTTTCAGTAGAGATAGAATAGTGTATACTGTAACGCTGTATATTTCAGTAGAGATAACTGTAACGCTGTATATTTCAGTAGAGATAGACTACTGTATACTGTAACGCTGTACATTTCAGTAGAGCTAGACTACTGTATACTGTAACGCTGTACATTTAAGTAGAGCTAGACTACTGTATACTGTAACAGTACATTTCAGTAGAGATAGAACATGGTATACTGTAACGCTGTACATTTCAGTAGAGATTGAATACTGTAACACTGTATATTTCAGTAAAGATTGAATAGAGATACTGTATGCGGCTTTGTTAGCTGCATACAGTGCCTTCAAAAAGTATTCATACCCCCTTGACTTATTCCACATTTTGTTACGTTACAGCCTGAATTCAAAATGGATAACATTATTTTTCACCCATCTACACACACAGTATCCCATAATGACAAAGTCAAAACATGTTCTTACAAATTTTTGCACATTTATTGATAATGAAATATCTCATTTACATACGTATTCACCCCCCTGAGTCAATACATGTTAGAATCCCCTTTGGCAGCGATTACAGCTGTGAGTCTTTCTGGGTAAGTCTCTAAGAGCTTTGCACACCTGGATTGTACAATACTTGCACATTCTTTTTTAAATTCTTAAAGTTCTGTCAAGTTGGTTGTTGATCATTGCTAGACAGCCATTTTCAAGTCTTGCCATAGATTTTCAAGCCAATTTAAGTCAAAACTGTAACTAGGCCACTCAGGAACATTCAATGATGTCGTGGTAAGCAACTCCAGTGTATATTTGGCCTTGTGTTTTAGGTTAATGTCCTGCTGAAAGGTGAATTTGTCACCCAGTGTCTGTTAGAAAGCAGATTGAACTAAGTTTTCCTCTAGGATTTTGCCTGTGCTTAGCTCCATTCCATTTCTATTTATTCTATAAAAAAAAACTCCCTAGTCCTTGTCGATGACAAGCATACCCATAACATAATGCAGCCACTACGGTACTATGCTTGAAAATATGGAGTGTGGTACTCAGTAATGTGTCATATTGGATTTGCCCCAAAAACAACACTTTGTATTCAGGACAAAAAGTGAATTGCTTTGCCACATTTTTTGCAGTATTACTTTAGTGCCTTGTTGTAAACAGGATGCATGTTTTGGAAGATGTTTTATTCCGTACAGGCTTCCTTCTTTTCACTCTGTCAATTAGGTTGGTATTGTGGAGTAAATACAATGTCGTTGATCCATCCTCAGTTTTCTCCTATCACAGCCATTAAACTCAGTAACTGTTTTAAAGTCACTATTGGTCTCATGGTGAAATCCCTGAGCGGTTTCCTTCCTCTCCGGCAACTGAGTTAGGAAGGACGCCTGTATCTTTGTAGTGGATGGGTGTATTGATACACCATCCAAAGTGTAATTAATAACTTCACCATGCTCAAAGGGATATTTAATGTCTGTTTTTTGTTTTTTTACCCATCTACCAATACGTGCCCTTCTTTGCAAGGCATTGGAAAACCTCCCTGGTCTTTGTGGTTGAATCAGTGATTGAAATTCACTGCTTGACTGAGGGACCTTACAGATAATTGCATGTGTGGGGTACAGAGATGAGGAAGTCATTCAAAAAGCATGTTAAACACTACTATTGAACACAAAGTGAGTCCATGCAACTTATGTGACTTGTTAAGTACATTTTTACTCCTGAACTTATTTAGGCTTGTCATAACAAAGGGGTTGAAAACTGACTCAAGACATTTCAGCTTTTAAAAAACAGAATTCGACTGCCATTATGTGTGTATGCCAGTGCCACAACATCTCAATTTAATCCATTTTAAATTCAGGCTGTAACAACAAAATGTGGAAAAAGTCAAGGGGTGTGAATACTTTCTGAAGGCACTGTACATGCACTATCTACAGTACCTAATGTCAATCCAACCACTAGCCTAATTTTCTGGTAGTGTAAATATTGGAAACATTAGCCTACACGGAAAATCTTCCAGAAAACAAAACAAGCGATCCATGAGAACAGAAATAGGTTGTTCTGTGTGTCAGATATCCACTCATGCGTCCAGAGCACGCAATCACCACATGGCAAAATACTGTATGCAGCAGAGCAGTGTTTGTCCACATCCCAAATGGCACCTCATTCCCTATATAGTGCACTACTTTTGTCCAGAGCTCTGTGGACTCTGGTCAAAAATAGTGCACTACATTGGGAATAGGATGCCATTTGGGACGTACGTGCTGACTCAGTACTATCAAGGCTCTATGTGAACTGAAGTACTGCTGAGCTGTCTGAGCATTACCCCTCACTGTGATGCCAATGACAAAATTCGACCTGAGGATAACCTGAGGACAGACCACACCAGGACATCCGGAGTTCTGTGTCATTTTCTGACGAAATATCGTGCCTGCTAGTTACCTAATAAGACAACTTCTTTATACCAACATACCGCATTAGCTGCGCACACACACACCTGTGACTAAATCACTGGAGGTGATGGTGAAAAACCAGAGCAAGGGCATCACTGCCGCAACACATTGTAGCTGGCTGGCCTGTGCAGAATGTCCCACGACTCTCCCACCCACATTTAACCATCATACTGCTAAAAGATGCGACAGTTTGCTGGAAAGGCGAACTAGCCACTAGTGCGCCAGTAGCTAACGTTACACGCCAGCTGCTTTGCAAGCTACGTTAATGTTTTTAACTACCTGGCTAGTTATGTGTGACATAGTTTGCGCTTTGCGGATCCTTGACTAGCGTAGCTAACGCGTTAGATAGCTATGTAAACAGACAGCTTGCCATTTACCATTGTCATTTAACTACATATCAGCTAATATTAACTAACAGCTGGTAGCTAATCGTGTAAACAAATAATACTGGCTGTAGCTAGTTAATTAGTTAGCCATCTCACTACCAGGCTGGCTAGCTGAAAATGCGAGGTAGCTAACGTTAGCTTACCTAGAGAGCCAACGTTTGCTAGTAGCTAATTTACCTGTCTTCACATTGATTTGCCACGCTGCTAGACTCCAGGAACGAACCTTCTTCAAATGATCTGAAAACAAACTATGGTAGATCATCTAAATCTCGTACAAATAGGCAGGAATGTCTTCTGCTGAATCCCGCAGCCCTCATCAAGCCGAACCCTAGCTGAGGAACGCTCACCACCGGTCTCTTACGTCGAGGCGGAGTTTACTTTTGATGACTGGTCGCGAGATTTGCTAGCGACAACATCGAGTCACCATCAGTCGATTCTTGTAAAAATGTCCATTCTGAAAACGCTTACCTGTACCTATGTTTGTCCTGTACAACTGCGGTCCTTCCGCGGGGTGCTGAAATTGATACTTTCAACAAAAACTTTTATCGAATACAACCACCGACTTTTTCCCCATTAGTGTTGCTCATACTACATACGCTGAAATTCAAGTGGCACATGCACATTCACGCTGAGTTGAGCTACACAAATGAGGAAAAAGTCGGTGGTTGTATTCGATAAACGTTTTTATTAAAAGTATACATTTCAGCACCGCAATTGTACAGGACAAACATATTGTAATGACCTGACTAGATCATAAAAGAACAACTGTCCAGACAGAGGATTGAGTTTACGAATGGACGGTTTATTAAACCAACTTTACACAGGCTACTGTTTGGCCGTAGCCCACGCCAAATAAATGAAAGATAACCCACAAGCCAATCGCGACCTTCTCTTGTGAAGCCCAGACGTAAAAAGAGAGAGAACAAAGGCTAAACCTGGTCTTAACTTCCAATGCTCCATCCCCCTGCCCAACCCCCCTCCACGCCACTCCGCCAACCGCCAGGATGCCCGGCATCAGAACATTCCAGGCATTCCCGTGAATGGCAGATAGCAGGTTGATTGACATGTCGGACCCCGCGAACACTGGGTACTGGTAGGTACAACACAACCATCTACTAGCCTAACCCATAACACACAGCTGTCTGTGCGGGTCGCTACACAGCCCCCCCACCACAAAGTCCCTCGTCCCCGAGGGAACAAACAAAGTCTCTGAAGCGACCCGGAGGTCTCCTTTGCCTGCGTGGCTGTGATGGCCGCAGAGTGCCCCTCTGGGAACCAGGGGATGAAGGCAAGGACATGGGGGACAAGGAAGCGGGAACGGGTAATACAGTCCGTGGCTCTGGGGAACCACGCGGTGACACAGGGGGAGTGGGCTGTCTGGAGCCTTGTCTGCGGCACCTGGGGGTGGGTGCCTGGAGAATGTCATTGCCAGAGAGGGGAATTGTGGGGGTTCCTGGGGTTTGGGGAGAAGAGGCCCCTCTATATGTGGCTAACCTGTCCCGGTGCAGTGTCACCTTTCTCCCACTGGGAGGAAGCTGCACCCGGTAAACAACCTCCCCTACCCTCTCCAGGACACTGCAGGGTCCCACCCAGTGACTGTCCAACTTGGGGCATCTGCCTTTTTTCCTTAGCGGGCTGTAGACCCAGACCAGCTCCCCAGCCACAAAGTGCCTTCCCCGGGTGTGCACGTCATAGTTCCTCTTCTGCCTCACACCTGCATTCAGCAGCTGCTCTCTGGCGAAGGTGTGGGCTGTCTCCAGGCGGTCCTGGAGTCTCCGGGCATACTCCGGCCCCGGGGAAACATGAGGGCTATCCAGGGGCCGACCAAACGCCATCTCCGCAGGGGTACGGATCTCTCTCCCCAGCATGAGGAGGGCAGGCGTGCAGGAGGTGGAGTCTTGGACAGCGGAGCGGCATGCCATGAGGACCATAGGCAGGTGCTTGTCCCAGTCACGCTGGTGTTTGGAAGAGACGATGGCCAGCTGCTGTCCAAGCGTTTTGTTGAAGCGCTCCACAAGGCCATCACTTTGAGGATGGAGAGGAGTAGTGCGGGTCTTGTGCATACCCAGCCTCTCACACATGGTGGCGAACACACAGGACTCAAAGTTTCTGCCTTGGTCGCTGTGGATGGACTCTGCAGCTCCAAACCTGCTGAACATCCCCGCTGTCAGGGCGTCGACGATGGTCTCTGCCTCCTGGTCAGGCAGAGCATAGGCCTCGGGCCATTTTGTGAAATAGTCCATGGCCGTGAGCACCCAGCGGTTTACACTGTCTGTGGTGGGGAACGGCCCAACTACATCCACTCCCACCCTCTCCATGGGAGCCCCCACTGGGAACTGTTGGAGCTGAGCATGAGAGCGGCCTGGGGGGCCCTTTCTCGCTGTGCAGTTGTCACAGCGGCGGCAAAAGTCTTCCACATCCCTCTTGTGCTGCCCCCAGTAAAAGCCCTGACGGAGGCGGCGCAGTGTTTTTGTGACCCCAAAGTGTCCAGTCCCCACCCCCCCCATGAGTACTCTGGAGCACAGCCTCCCGCAATGCTTTTGGGACCACCACCTGCCACCTCTCCTCCCCCGTAGCTGACTCCTTCCATGCCCGCTGTAACACGCCATCAGCCAGCCGCAGTCGCTCAAACTTTGACCACAACCCTTTGGTCGCGAGTGAGAGCACTGTCACCTCTTCCCATGGTGGCCTCACCTGCGCCTCTACCCACTGTAGCACTGGCTGTAGGTCTGTGTCCCGTCCCTGCCGCTGCCCCCATTCAGCCACGTCGACAGTCTGCAGCTCACAGCAGACAGGCCCGCTCGCCCGACACACTGTGGCACAGACCCCCTCCTCTGCACACAGCTCTCTCTCCCGTCCCTCTCTCCGTTCACAGTGGCGGCAGCCGTCTGCAGTACAGGGCCGACGGGACATGGCGTCGGCGTTGGAGTGGCGTGCCCCTGCCCTGTGCACCACCGTGAAGTCATACGGCTGAAGCTCCTCCAACCAGCGTGCCACCTGCCCCTCTGGCTCTCTGAAAGACATGAGCCACTGGAGAGCAGAGTGGTCAGTCCTTACAGTAAAGGGCAGACCACCCAGGTAGTACTTGAAGTGTTTGACGGAAGCCACAACAGCCAAGAGCTCCCGCCGGGTGACACAGTAGCGGCGCTCATGTTTGTCAAATGTTTTGCTGAAGTACGCCACCGCTCTCTCCCCCTCTGGCCCCACCTGGGCCAGCACCCCACCCATGCCCACATTGCTCGCGTCTGTGTCCAGGATAAAGGGCAATGTGAGGTCAGGGGGGGCGAGCACGGGGGCCTCGATCAGTGCACGTTTGAGGGTGTTGAACGCCTCCTCACACTCCACTGTCCAAGTGAAAGCCTTGTCCTTCGGCAGCAGGCGGTTCAGTGGAGCAGCAACGCTTGAGAAGCCCCGTACAAACCTCCTGTAGTACGAGGCCAGGCCCAGGAAGCTCTTCAGCTGACGCTGGTCGGTGGGGGTGGGCCAGTCTCTGACAGCCGCTACCTTGTCCTCCATGGTGCTGATCCCCTCCTTCCCCACTCGGTGGCCCAAGAAGGACACCTCTCTCCTCATGAAGTGGCACTTCTCGGGGTGGAGCTTCAGACCTGCGGCAGCCACCCTCTCCAGCACACACCGTAGCGCCCCCAGGGCTGACTGGAAGGAGCTGCCATGGGCCAGGATGTCATCGAGGTATACCAGACACTGCTGTCGGGGGATGCCATCCAGCACCCTGTCCATCAAACGCTCAAAAGTAGCTGGAGCGTTGCACAGGCCAAAGCACAGGACCTTGAACTGCCAGTGTCCTCTGTTAGTGGAGAACGCAGTTTTGGCTCTGGCCTCTGGGGAGAGGGGCACCTGCCAGTAGCCACTGCGGAGGTCTAGTGAGGAGAACCAGGAGGACCCCCTAACCAGGTCCAGCGACTCATCGATACGTGGTATGGGGTATGAGTCCTTCCTGGTTACCTCGTTCAGCCGCCTGTAGTCCGCACAGAACCTCAGCTTGCCCCCCTTCTTCGGAACCATGACGACTGGCGCCGCCCAGGGGCTGTCTGAGGGCTCAATGAAGTCTGCCCGCTGCATCTCCAACACAGCCTTGTCTGCCGCCTCCTGGCGTGCCAGCGGGATACGGCGGGGACGCATCTTGATAGGTCGAGCATCACCTGTGTCGATCTCATGCTGCACCAGATGAGTCTGACCCACCTCTTCCTCACTCAGCGCAAAGCTGTCTCTGAATTCAAACAGCAACTGCCTCAACCGTTCCTGCTGCTCGGGGTCAAGACCAACACAGTTCCTCCCCCATATCTCCCTCACTGCAGACAGTGTCCTCTCCCCTCCCATCTGGGGTAGCTGGGCTGGGGGGGCGCGGCCCGGGCTCACAGAGGACTGTGTCGTGGAGGTAGCTGGGGGAATGTAACGCAACGCCGTAGGTGACAGGGGGGCTGGGGAAAAGTCACACCCAGATGTGGGGGAGGGGGGGCAGCCATGAGTCTCTGCTGCTTTAACTGTTGGAGTAAAGGGTTTGTTGGGTTGAGTGAATGTGACATTAGGGGCCATGGTGACCTCCGGCCCTCCCTGGAAGCTCAGTGTGCCCCTATTTAGGTCTAACTGGCAGCCTGTGCTCCTAAGAAAGTCCAACCCCAGGATACAAGGGTCCTGCACAGCCGCCACCCACACAGGATGACGCACAGTCCTGCCCCCTACTGTCAGAGTCATTATTCCCTTCCCTTCAATGGGTGCCAGCTCACCTGTGACTGTGCGGAGCTGCACAGTTGTAGGCTCACACTGAGTCCAACCTGGCACAACATCTGGCCTCACCAGGGTTACTGTGGACCCAGTGTCCACCAGGGCGGAGCAGGGCACCCCCTCCACAGTGACAGGGACATGACAAAAGTCCCCAACACAGGTCCGGCCCACCACAACAACAGGCTCCATCCGCTTGCCCTCGTCTGCTTCTGGGGGAAGTGGAGCCTTGCTTCCCCGTCTGTGCCGGTGGGCTCCTCCTGAAGAAGATGGTGGTTGGGATAGAAAGCCAGGGGTCCGCACTACCCGGTCTATGCGGACCCCGAGCCGTTTCCCTGAGCTCTGGGGGACATGGGGCAATCTCGGCGCAGATGGCCTGGCTGGCCACAACCCCAGCAGACCCTGGGACCAGGGCGTGTGTTTCGTGCCGCCTGTAGCGACACAGCACGAATGAGTTCTGTCATTTCAGCCACCCATGCAGGCTTTTTCGGCTCCGGGCTGCTCTGCCCCCCAGCTCGCACAGAGGGTCTGTCTCCCTGCACCCCCACCAAAGCCCCAGCTGAAGCCCCAGCCCACACCAGCTCCCTCTCCAAAGCCATCTCCAAGGCTAACTGCAATGACTCAGGATGAGCCAGCTGGGTCTGTATGCGCAGCTCCGTAGGAGAGAGCGCCTGTATGAACTGGTCCCGTGC